TTAGTATCCTCCTTAAATCATAAGTCGGTTGAAAATACACGAGAATATCTTGTGTTTTTTCTATGTATAAATGACAAATCAATAATATGTCGCTATTTTGTTATTAACAAATTGTTGAAAACTAGGAATTAGATGCATTGAATAGAAGTTTTTTCATGTCATTATCAATTCAAGCTTCCTTAAATATTTTAAGACAAAATTGTCCCGCTATATATATGTCTATTTTAACGTAATAAACTGAAAAAATATTAAACAGATTTTCATGTTGTTTCTGCCAATAGTTCACGTAAATCACAAGGAAGATTTTGATGTATTATTCATTAAGGTTTTGTGTAAATTACCTGAAGCATGACCATAAATATTGAAATATGTCGGAAAATCATCCCGAATGAATTAGGTAATATAGGTAAACCAAAGTCATTCTCAAGTCATAAGATGTTCCATAGACGATAGAAATAATGTTATTTGGTAGGTAATCCTAAATAAATAAAAAAAGTAAAGTTATACAAACGTCCATTAAGATTTAAAGACGACTTTAAGCTCTAATATCCATTAGAGCTTAAAGCCGTCGCGCGATAAAAATTTTAATATTTCGAATACCCGTTCTAAATAAAATAAAAAAATGTAATCGCAGTTCGTTTAATTCCACATTAACCATACAAATTTTCATATTAAGAACATCGATTAGGGCTTAAACTTGTCATTAAACCTTAATGAACGTTTATGCAACTAATAGCATGTCTCTATCTCTCTAAAATTGTCTCAAGTTTTAGCGTATTCTCCGTACGTACATTTTATTTAAGTACACAAAAATATTTTTTACTTTGGTGTTACCTATATCTACCTAGTACCTATTAGTTTTGGGACTAAAGCTTTTAATTTTTGATATAAGTCATTACATATATGTTAAAATGAGAAATTAAGTTACATAACCTTAAAAAATAACTTCATTTTACCGATAAGTTGCGAAATTCGCAGTGACCTTATATACTAAGGCTTTGTCATTATATTTTTAAACTCGTATTAAAATCTTAAAGCCACAGTTGCATTATCTGTGAGTAAATCGATATATAAACACTCGGCATGATTGAAAGGAAAAAAATTATATTTACGCGAAATCAGTAAATGCCGTCTTCATAGTTAATTTTTCTCGCTTCTGATTGTTCAAGGTGAAAATAATGATCATTAGCTACGACTTCGCCCTTCATAATAATCCAAAGATGATAGGGTATTTTGTTATTTTCCTTGGTGTACACGGAGCAGCACATCACAAGTACCGCCTAACTCCCTACCATGCCTCTAGCCGTGTTTCGATTCATTTTCCGTAGCCGGGTGTCACCATTTCCGAGATCCCGGATTCGATTCCCAGTCGGGTCGGTGTAGAACTCACTTTTCTATATTTTCTATATTTTCTCGGGTCTTGGTGTTGTGATAGCTTCGTTCTCTCAGATACGACAGGTTTTTGCTACTCATATTGGAATCTGAGCAATGTATGTATGTGATGTTTTCTAATTTTATTACTTTGACATGTCTTTTGTTTGATAAATCTTTAATTATACTTCTTTGTCATTCGTTCGTCGTTATTATAGTAGTACATACATGTCAAAGTAGTAAAATGAAATGAAATATCGCCAAGATGGCGTATCCTATAGTTAGAGTAATAGGTATTCACACCTCAGGTTATCACAAAAGACCAAATTATGTTATTCTAACAATCAATTGTGAAAATTAAACGAATATTATATTAAAAAGTTAAAAGACTTAAACGAATATTGTAAAAATAACCCTGAACTGTAATGCTATCTATCTCTTTACATTATAAAGAAGAAAGATTTGATAATTTGTTCATACTGAATAAGTACGCTTCAAAACTACGGTACCCATTTTAAAAACTCTTTCACCTACGGGAAACTGCAGCATGCCCACTTGGTTGATATAAAAGAAAATCACTTAGTTCTATCATAAAAACAACCTCGAACTCTCTACGTCGAGCGCAGCGTTGTCCTTGTACAGAGGTTCAATCAAATAAAATATACTTGGAAAGTTATAGAAACTGCAGCATGCCCACTTGGTTGACAGAAAAGAAAATCACTTAGTTGTATCATAAAAACAACCTCGAACGCTACGTCGAGCGCAGCGTTGTCCTTGTACAGAGGTTCAATCAAATATAATATACTTGGAAAGTTATAGAAACTGCAGCATGCCCACTTGGTTGACAGAAAAGAAAATCACTTAGTTCTATCATAAAAACAACCTCGAACCCTACGTCGAGCGCAGCGTTGTCCTTGTACAGAGGTTCAATCAAATATAATATACTTGGAAAGTTATAGAAACTGCAGCATGCCCACTTGGTTGACAGAAAAGAAAATCACTTAGTTCTATCATAAAAACAGCCTCGAATTCTACGTTGAGCTCAGCGCTGTCCTTGTACAGAGGTTCAAGATACAATATACTTGGAAAGTTATAGACTGAAGAGCTTTAGAAAGCTTGATTTTTCAGTATGGTAATGTATTAAGTGTACTCAGTAGCCAGTGCGGAAATCAAGTGCTGCAACAATTGGTGGCCTGAAGTATACCTTTAGTACTTCAATTCACTGAAATTTCAAGCGTTTTTAAGCTTTACCTTCCTAAAAACAAACAAAGTTAGTGTAGATTTTTCAATTCCCCTTTTTTACCATAGTGGCACAACCTACCTGAGCGAACCAAGCACAAAAAACTTATAATTGACGTTTACTTACATAAACATATTGTCTCGTATAGTACACAAAATTACGACAAACAAAAACATCATATGAGAATACGAATAGTATACTTTTGCCATGAAAAATAAAGCTTTTTTAAAATTATTATAGTGTTAATTGCTGTGATAATACGTACATGACCCAGTTGACCTTTTTACGTCAGCAAAATCTTGTTATGAATGGTTAAATAGAAGAAGAACTGGTAAATTTATGTTGTGGCAGCGTTTCGTCGTGTAGGCACGTCATTGACAGATACAAGAAAAAAATATATATATTCATTATATTTCTTTATTTGTATGTAGGTAATATTACGTTGGAGCGATACTAAGGTTTTCATAAACTTTCAATGTTATTTTCAATGTTTTCAATGTTTTATGTTTTCTAGGTTTTATGACATATAACTTTCAATGTTTCTATGTTTTATGACAATGCTAATAATAACTTTCAATGTTTTATGACAATGCTGGCGTAACCATATCAATAAATGTTTATTTAAAAAATGAGTGAGCACTGAAACTATATTTAAATATAATCGCGGAACATACAAAAAACACTCGAGTATCATTTTTTTTCCACAAATCGGTTAACAAAACAAACACAGACGCTACTGACGTTAAAATTTAAACCAGTGGTTTATGCAAACATTGCAACGATCACCCACACAACCTTCGTAGTACAAACAATACAAAGTACAAGCATCGATGTATATATTTATTTATCTAATTCATAATCTACTTTGTTACACACATCTAGGGACTCTGGCTAACTCATTTTATTTCCCTTTTCCCTCTAACAGTGTTATAATACCTACGAATCGGAAACTCTGCTTATATTTTTATAAAACCAGCTTTTGCCCTTGACTTCGTCCATGTGGTATCGTTATACTTTAAAAGACAAATTTCTGGAAAACCTTTACCCCTATTTCAACTCTTTCGAGCCTAATTTTCGTAACAAAAGGTAACTCATGTTCTTTCCCAAGGTCAACTCTACATTTGTACCAAATTTCATGAATATTTTAGATAAAATGGTTAATTAAAAATGTTTGCTTGTAAACATGACAGGTGATCTATACCAATATTATAAAGATTTAATTGCAACGGACAAGCTCCGAAACCACTGGACCAATTTTAAAAATTCATTCACCTACGGGAAGTACATCACTACATCATATGCGGTGGACATATGCTACATTTTATCCCGAACAGCAAATAAAGGAATGAAAATGAGTGTGGAAGTTTGTATAGGAAATTAAAACGTTACCATTGTAATGATAAAATTTATCATTCAATTTGTCATTGTAATTAGATCCATGCCGTGTAATAATATTAATCGATACCCAAATATACAGTTCCCTAGTGACAGCGGGCGAAGCCGCTGGCGGAAAGCTAGTATATAATAAAAAAAAAGTTCGTCTTATAAAAGTGATTGAAAGTAGATATAAAGATTTCAGCAAAGATTTCCTTCTATTGACTTATCTATAAACCAATTACGTACAATTAATAAACATATCTATGGTGTTGTCTTTAATGAGAAGTTAGCTAGGTAAATTCAAAAACAATTATCAACAAAAACTTTTCAAAATAATTCCATCTTTAAAACTTTCGCATGTGACTCTGTGACGTGTCTTCTTCGATGTTCCAAGCTTGCCTTGACACACTCTTATTGAATAATAACAAGAAAAACTCGTTGAAATTCATAATTATATACTCTTTCGATTCGGATAAAAAAATCAAGATGAAATATATACGATAATTATATTTCCTTATTAGTCCCTTGTCTTCTACTTCGTTTTACGTCCCTCAAATCTCCAAGATTAAAAATAATAATCTATATTGAATGAGACTTTAATGAGACTATAATAGAATTCATTAATATACGTAATGTTTCTTGTAAAGACTTTTTCACCTATTCAAGAAGTAAAAACATTAAAACTTAAGCGTATTACAAAGTTATTGTCAAAGAAAATAGTTTCTATTACGTAATAAAATCTTTTGAAACATTTACACGATGTTACAAAAATACCTACTAAGTTTGAAACATAATACTTAAACTGATAAAATTGATATAATTGGTGTTTATTATGCTAATTATCAGTATGATAGTCTTGGAAAAAATATCAAAGCTCAGCAAAAAGTTAATTCTGACTGCAATTCGATTTTCCTGCAATGTTCCGGGTTTGAATGGTTGCGAGACCTTTAATCAGAATCAATAGAAATATTTCTATACCACGAGGCCTTTAACTACTGAAGTTGGGGTCTGAGCAATATTAATATATTTCCAACCTTGAGTAATGTATTTTTTCCAAAATTACTACGGCACCAACATAAAAATCATAAGTGTATACAATATTTGATTGCAAACCTAACAGGTATTTTTGTACCATCATCCATATAAAGAAAAAACAAAAGCAAGCTCCAAAAAAATTTAAAAGGGTGAATCTGCTATATGTTATCACGTCTGAAAAACAAAAAATTAAGCGATCAAGTCCACGATTAGTTTCTTTTGGAGCCTCGTCGACATGTTGACAAAAAGAAGAACGTCGAAAAGATTCGTCCTCGGCGACAATGACGAAGATGCGGCATCTTACGATGACGAAACTGAAGTACTCCCAGCGGAATTGGTGCAAAAGTTCCAGATGACGCTACAAACAGACGCAGACCAGGGATCGGACAAGGAAGAAGAACGCGACACTATCGACGTCAACAGGCGACTGTTGAGGCCTCCACAACAGACTCTGCAGTAAGTTCAAAACACAAACGTGCTTGGATTTTATATTGTGCTTGGTTTTATCAGCTGAAACTTTTATAAGGGCCAAATCCTCCAAATTTAAATTAGATACCTATAGATGTGCCATATTTAACCCAAATCCTTACAAAATGCGGCCAGCACTATTCTGTAATAATAACAGCCTTAATGAGCACAGCTAGTCACAGCAAAAACAATGAAATCAAATCTAATTCAAAAGGTAATAATAAAGGTTTAATTTCATTTAAGCTCTATGCGTTGACAGCGCTGTGTTAGACGTTGAATTCAAAATTGTTTTTACAGAATAGCGTCGCTCGTGTTATTTAGAAAATTCTTCTCAATCCTTGAATAGGCGTAAACATTTAAATTAAAGTTAATTGTGTTAAAATTGTCATTAGTATAAAGCGACATTACCGATACAAATTTGACATTAATTAGACCTTAAAGGCGTAGTTAAACGTTAATAGATGTTTGTGCAACTGATCGTATATTACTTAATTGATGGTGCTGCATTTTTTACAGGTCTGATCAGTAAGTTTAAGGAATGGTATAAGTACTTTTGTATTTAGGCATTTGTTTTTTTTATGATGAAATATAATTTTAGACAGAACACAGAAAAACAACTTTCTGTGTTCTGTGGTTTTAGGGTATGTTCCGATATACACTGCGACCACTGAACAGTATGACGTCAATTTAGTATACAGGAAGCCCGTTCCTTTATAGCTAGTTATACTGGTGACTTTTTAAAACGGAACGCAGTCCTATTTTTTGACGCCATTTTCAAATTTGTTAATGCAAGGTGAATATAAATATAAAGATTCCCTCTTTTCAAAAGAAAATATTATAAAATTGTAAAATTGTATAAAAAAAATATTTATCAATTAAATCCATCTTATAACTCTTCTTAATTCATTTGTTTATAAACTCCGAGTGAATAAACTATTGTTTGAACTATCGCGCACAATACTCACAACTGTTTCGACTGATCACATGATCAAAAGCACTGCGAACACCTTACCTCGAAATCTCCAGTGCTCACAGTACAAATATGGCGGCAATTTATGACGTCATAAATTTCCTTAGGGTACGGATTTTTCAGCAGTAAGACCACTGCGCAGTGCTACCAGTGTATATCGGAACATACCCTTAGTCTGTTTTATAAACTCATACAAACTATGATCCTAAACATAACTACTTATTAATTCTCTGCTTGGCAGAAAATCACAAATCTCAATATGTCAGTTTACGACAGGACCTTGCCCTGAGGTTTTTTTTTCAAATTCAAACAATGTATTTGCATAATAGTAGCAACTACATACTGACTAAAATAAAATTCTCAAGAACGCTATTTTTTTGTAGATATTGTATTGTATTTATTTATTATTATTTTTTGGTTGGCAACTTTGACTGAAGTCCCACAAAACTATTGTATAAAGGACAGTCAGTGAATTTAATTAGATATAAATTATCAAAAAAGCATTATAAAAGCTTGTTAATTACACATCTACTTACAAAAAAATAATTAAAATCATTCTCTGTAGCCGAGTGGTTCTCAGGCCGGTTTCAAAGTGTCGCCGTCTCTGAGGTTCCGGGTTCGATTGAATCGGGTGAATGTTGGAGATTGACTTTTCTATATTGCCTCGGGTCTGGGTGTTGTGGTACCTTCATTATTTCAGATACTAATTAATATGGCGGCTTTGGCTACTCATCTTGGAATCTGCGCAATGCATGTGATGTTGTCTAATATTTATTTATAATTTGTGGTGGAGGCTTAAATGCCATTTGCTATCCGATAAGTTAACTTCATCTACTACGATTTAACACGATATAATACACAATGAGCTTATATAAGAAGGGGCGTAGCGAAGTAATACCGAAGTATTTTTACGGGGCCAGTGCAGATTAGTGGGTGTTAGCGATAAATATATCAATAAGTTACCATTTAAAGTCACTATTTTTAGGGTGCCGTACCCTAAGAGTGAAAAACGGGACCCTAAGACACCGCTCTCCGTCTTGTTGTAATTTTACCTTTTTAAAGGGAAAATTAATAAATATCTATTAAGCCAGTTTATATCCGACAAACCAAAGAGTTAAAGTATACACCTAGTACATACCTAGTATGGAAAAGAGAATCCACTCTCCAATTTCTATATGTAAAATGAAAATGAATAAAATATATTTTAGATATTTTTATTGTAATCGATTATAAAGGAAGGGACTCTACCAAACCTGGGTATGGTAGAGAAGGAATCTTTTACTGCAGACTAAGCAAAAGGTAAGCAAAATAATCAGTTTAAGTGATGCTTAAAAAACCTACTTCCTTATCTACATTGAAAACCCTAATAAATATTTCAATAAGGAAACGAAAAAATCTTAAAGTGTTTAATAAAATACATCTACTTATAAAGTCTCATTAAGTAAAGTAGGTCCTCTGCCTTTACCACAAAACAGACCGTAAAAGGTACCCACTCATTATTTAATATAGTTCGGAATAAAGTGACTGTGACATGCTGGCGGACGCACAGACATGACGTTGACGAATCTATAGGAATTCCAAGGTTTTTCGACTAGTGCAAGCTCATTTTCATTGGTCTATAGGGTCCTCATGTGTGTTATTTGTTTTCATTGGCCTTACAAGGAAACAACGGCCGCCATAGGAGAACTGACGATATTTAAACTGAAACAAAACCATTATTTCTTCTTTAATAACATATGAATATTCACAAAATAAAAAAATAATATTATAATAGGTAATTTACATAAAAAAATACCTTTTGGACCTCGCTTCGTCTCTGTGTCCTTAGGTTTGATAAAGTTAGGATGAGTAGAAGGAATTTGTCATCATATGACAATATCTATCATTTTTTTATAGTTGGCCTTCGATGGAACATGGCCTTCCATGGTCCACCCACCTTACCTATTATAAGTAAGTAAGTATTGGATAGGTTCTAAGATATTAAACTGTATTATTTCTACGGAACCCTCAGTGCTCGTGTCCGACACGCACTTGCCCGTTTTTTACACTAATTGGTATCTAAACAAGTTTAATACACATAGCCCTATGTAGTTTGTGATACACAATAAAAGTTTAAAAGTCAGAAAATATATACATTTCTGTTTTTTTTTTCTTATTATTATAAAAATAAAAAAATAAGATTTTATATCTATTAATAACTAAAAAACTACGCCAGAGCACCCAATAAGTGCGACGTTCGCTGTGACGTTATAAGCGAGTCGGAGGCCAAAGACGTTGTGTGCGAAAACACGTAGTTTTTAATTAATAATCAATAACTTGATCATTTATTAACGGATTTTATCTTTGTTTTCCGATTTTTATTTTAGTTTTGACATATATTTTTATGTTATTAAATTAAATATAATAATGTCAACATCATGAAACTTTCTCATTACGTTGTCTAGAAGTACTGTATGTAAAGTTCGTACCCTTTCGGTAAAGTATTTTCAATCAATATCTTATATTGAACACATTTCTCCAATTTAATTATGTGGTGACTGACCAAACGCGCTGGCTGTCCGGATAACGGGGTGTAGTAAAATTTAATTGGAATTGAGATATATCTCTTTCGCTCTTCAATTAAGTTCTAAGGAAGTTAGAGTGAAATAGCATTATCGTACGATGGATCGTATGATGTATGGAGCCTGTTTATACAAAACGATTTACATGTAATCACGATTTTTGACATTTTAATCATATTCTTAAAATAATTGAAAAATATTATTATTTTTTTATTATAAACAATAACTTGAAATTAAAACAACACAAAAGTTGTTTAAATAATTCATTCAAGAAGTTTAAATTCGTTACCAATTGTACTTCAGCTACCAAGATGACGTATGCTGTAAATAGCCTTAAATCATTCATATCTTTCGTTATCGGTCCGAATCGTTCTATGGGTTAGATTCCAAAAAATATAAGTAACATGATCTATGTACGTGATTTAGATTTTATAGTTAAATTATTTTAAATTTTTAATCGCAATAAAATATAATTAATAAATATATAATAAATTAATAACCATAATTTCCTTGTTTATAAACCACAAGCGACTATACATATTGCTATTCCCCTTTTAATCTTAAAAGAAAGTTTAAGTTATTTTAACTTTTATTTAATGCTTGAATATTAAAATTCATAAATATAGTAAAAATACAAGTCAATATAACATTTTTGAAGCACGTTCATTGTGAATACCTGCTAATTCAATGTTTTTATCGTGTTTATTTTTAATTCAAATCATAAGTTATTATCTAATCTAAGGCCTAGAACTAAATAAAGTAAACGATTTGATGACAAATCAGATGTAATCATGAAAAAAATCAAATAAGCATTTGTGAAAATAGATAGCAATTTATCACATATCGATAGGTCAATTGTACCGTTACGACTACGATTCGGACCGAGGCATTGGGCAAAATAGTTTACGTCAGTTGAAACGTCAAATTCTTGCTCTCTATAAAAAATATGAATTGAAATGAAAACAAAATAGTCCAGGATTACTAATTTTACTATATAATAAAAACGTGAAAATTATTTCTTTAAATGAGGAATGAGTTTTTAGTTTTTTAATAGTGGTAATAAAATGTATCCTGCAATGAGCGGCTTATATTCCGAAGGTCCTTACAGGTTAGTATTGTGTAAATAATATTGTTTATTGTTATAATTTTTAATGTATTTCAATGTTTTTAAGTGCATATTTCCGTAATCTTTTCTTTGCTTTTTTTTTCGATCTTCTAATGTAGTTCAAGCTACAAATTTATATTAAGTATGCCACTAAATTTCACTTGATTTCACTTACGTTTATTGCAATTTCTAATAAAATAATTGAAACCAATGCATAAGTAAATATTAAGCACTGCTTGGTAACAAAATATAATTATGTTATCCGCAATATCAAAAGTTGATATTTAAATAAACATGTCTAATTATTTGAGAAGATATGGAAAAGTTTGTTAATTCAAATATCTAATTTTATTTATTCAAGTTCTAAGAACTTTGTTTTCACGACACACTAGACAATTATAAGTAAATGCTATATTCAACAGAATTTATTTCTAAGTACTTAAAATTTCTCACTATTTATTAAATCCTTTTCTTATTTTGCAATTAAGCTATGAAAATTAATGTGTTAATAGTGTTGTTTTTAATTTATTGTCATAACCAATAAATTAAAACATATACTTGAAGAAGATCCTTAATAGCTAAATAGGATTGATAGTAAACTGTTTATATAAAGTCCAAATAAATTAAATAGGGACTGAGAAATCTTTATCAGGTTTCTAAGTTAATAAACTGTACCAAAATGTGATTTTTTGTATTAAGCTTGCATTCAATTATAGCTTATCAATTTCGTCCTATAACTCAACTCTTATTTTATTGGCAATATAGATATGAATATTATTAGGAACATATTTAAAAATATCTATGTGTGATTACCTGTTTACTAATACTATTACTAATATAACAATTAAGTTATACATAGATTTATCCATTGTCAACCACCTAATGAGTGTGAAAAAGATAAAACATCATATTTGACAAATATAAGTATTATGAATGTTTTATGTGGTTTGCTGTACATAGTCTATATATATAAAAATGAATCGCAAAATGTGTTGGTAAGCGCATAACTCAACAACGCCTCGACCAATTTGGCCAAATCTTTTTTTAAAATGTTCGTTGAAGTTCAAGGATGGTTTTTACGGCGAGAAAAATAGAATATTTAGAATTATTGCTGGAAAAACCCTAAAAATAGCCCTTTTCTTTTTCCCATACAAATGATTTGTAACTAAAACGTAGTCAATTTGAGCTTTATTGCTATGGTATAAAGATCATATTAAATTACAAGCACTCACTGTTGTCTAAGCAATGTAGGTGTGTTCCTAACGTCAAAGATCATATCTATCAAAACAATGTGCGTGTGTGCGTTGGAGCACAGAATACATAGTTGGAGGAGTTTAATGTCGCGTTCCGAAACTAGCGTTTCTTTTGTATTAATTTCGGCACGCGAGATAAAATGCATCAGTTTCCACGTCATTACATCAGTCAAACAAAAATCGCGTTACCAACAGTGTTTTATTATTTTTAATATCCAAATTTTAAATCAATAAAACAATTCGTACGGCTTAAAAGGATTTGACTTCAAGTCATATCAAATTTAAAAAAAAAAAAGTTGTCTGTGACCTAATCTACTGAGTTTGCTTTTGTCAACTGATACACGAAACAAATTCGTATATCGTGTTTTGTGCAGAGTGTTTACTTAGTTAGTGTTTGTTTAGTTCGTGATTAGTGAAAAAATAATTTATATTTGATATGTTTTATTTAATTATTTTTTATTCACAACGCCCTATCACCAGGGTGACGGTTCTGTTCAGGAGAATTTTTTTAAATACGTAGGCAAAAAAACTGCCACATTACAAATCTTTTTGACAGGACGAAGTCTGTCGGGTCAGCTAGTTATAAATAAAGAAATTCACAATTATTATATGTTGCTTATTATGTAATTTTCTGTGTGTTAAATAAATATCAATATAACTTTGTGCATGTGACTTTTCTGAAAAATAATAATTAAATAACTATGTTGATAACTTCTTCGCCAAAAAGTTACTGCAATTTTATAAATAAATTAAAAATAGTTTTTGACACCAATCACCATTGTCTGTGTCACTGAGAGGCTATACAATTTAATTTTATCTTCGTTTAGTATTGTTTGTAGATTTGGACAGAATTTTTGTGTGCTTATCACATTATCAATGATCATCATGATCTGATGTTTGTGTTTATTATATTTGATCAATTTTGCATTCGCAATGACAGTATGATCATTGTGAATGCAAATATTTTTTATGAAAAATTCTTTTTAAGAATATGTTTATTATAAAAGTTATATAATAATGTATAGTTAAACAAAAAACTGCACACAAATCTGTATCTTTTTGTTATGGAAAGTCATATTATGGTTTCTTTTCTCTTTTTTTATAACATTGGAAATTTAAAAAAAATATGATTTATCTACTGTAGCTAAAGTTTGATGGCCAAATTTTTGTCAATATAATAAGTATCAAATGTATAATTAAAATGTTAATAAGTATCAAAATAAATATCTTAATAAGAAATTTTATATGAATCATATTTAAATATTAACATTTGTAATAACAAACTGTAGATATATTGTCAAAAATCGGTTATCAACCTGTAGGATAAGTACAGTCAAAATAAATAGCAACATACTTAAAAATATTTGTGTGTTAAAAAAATTAAGAAAAGACAAGAATATGATAAGAGTAACATACACAATATTACTGGAATGATTACTAATTTTCCCTGCATATTAAAATCATAAAATATTAATTATTATTTTTCTAATCTTATCAGACTTGTGTTGTATAGACATGCAATAAATATCAAGATGAATAATTGATTAAAAATTTTAACTGTTAAGCCTGATTCAAATAAATAAATTCAGTTATTTTGTTAATTGATTTGTTGTTCTTCTCTTTTCATTGAACCAGTTAAACGTAGATAGCGATTTTAGGGCAGGGATTTTTTAAATAAAAATAATTATATTATTTTTATTTATTAATTTTGCATTCATGATGCTATGCCGGTAAATATTCTTAACGAAAAATCCTTTAAACACCAGTCCTAGGCACCCCAAGATGGGATTTGAACTCACAAGCTTACTCTATCAAGCCGTCTGCTTTAACCACTAGGCTACCCGAGCCATTGAAGGACTTACGTAAGGAAAAAGAGGATCACAGAAGCAACAGTGCTGAACATTTTATTTTCAAGATATATTAAAAAAATATATATAATAGTTTTATTGAAACTTTGAATGTTAGGTAGTCCGTAAGAGCTGCGCAATTTTCCATTTTTTACAGTACCACGGGGTTGAGATGAGGCCAGCATTTTGCCAAAATGAAATTTTTATTATTATTTTTATAACATTTATTCAGACATTCTAGTGACAAGTCAAGTCTATTGATGAAGACATTAGAAAGCTTCCTGAAATGTCAAAGCTAATTGTAGTAGGCCACTCGGGCCTTTACCGGCATCGTCCATATTAACAACAAAAACAAAACTATAAGAAAACAACAACAAAATAACAAGAAAAGCAGTAGCATTGACAATGAATGACAATCCCAGATACAATTGTACTCAATGATCCCAGATTACGTATTTTGAAAGTTATGAATACATCATAATCTGCCAAAATTAAAAAGCTGTACTGCCGAAACGTTTGAAGGGAATAGGCAACTACTAAAACACTTTAATGCCATTTTAATGTTTTAGACTTTAGAACATATAATTTATAAATTTGAAACTCGCCAATGTATCTATGCCCTATGGCAGCGTAAAGACATCACTAACTTTGGAATCCAAAATGTATACCTCTCGTTAAAATGTATAAAATTCTTCATAACCATAGTATGAATATTACCAGCACGCATAGCATCACACACTCGAGAAACGGGCGAAAGCGAGACCGAGAATGACATATTGTATAGGGCGTATCTCATTCTGAATCAGTTTCTCGAGTTTGTCATGCAAGCTCCAAGTGTATCGTGTTGTGAGGGTATAGCGATATATTTCAAACAGAATCGTCGTATTGATGAAGAGATTAACTTAAGATATGTAGCTATTATATCACTCGCTCGCTCTACTTTCAGTTTTAAGTCACGGTCATATGAACACGCCCTAATATTTCATACTTATATTACACGTCACATACATTTCTCATCCAAGAAAGTTGACTCGACACCCGATTAGAATAAATACAACGTTGAGCAGTTTTCTACATTGATCAGACTGGCAATCGAACCCGGGACTTCAGGAATGGCGACACCTTGAAACCGGTGTATTTAATATTACAAATGGTTGTTTTTCCTTGCAGGCCTTCTATGTCCCAAGGAACGGTGATCCACAGTCAACGTTTCCAAGAGAAGGACTTCACCATCGCCACACCTGAAGAGTTTGTGAGGAGATTTCAGGGTACCAAGCCTATTAATAAGGTAAGGCTCATGTTTAGCTATGCTAGAATGATGTGCCCCCTCCCTAGAAGATCGGCTCGCCCGTTTCAAGGTGATGCCATCTCTGAGTTCCTTCCAGTGTTTACATCCCGGATGGGTCTATCTAGAAAATGACTTTTTCTGTGTTGTCTCGGGCTTGGGCGTTGACAAACCTTATCTCCTTGTTTCCGATAATCCATAATTACTTATCTTGGAATCTTAACAATGTAAGTGATATTGTCTGATATTTATTTAATTAAAAAAGACAAAGAATTAAATCTGCTTAAAAAAAAATTGTCTTCAGTCTTCAATGACGTCAAAATGATAATCTTAAAAAAATTAACAAAATTTCACTAATTATTATATTTTGAATAATTTTGCATTCACGATACCATACTGAAAATTATTAGGTCGTGGGTTCGATTCCAAGTGGTTTTTTTAAGCATTTTGTATTAAGAATAAAATATCATTAGTTTTAAATTTGATTGTGTGTGATGGCAACAAAGATGCAGTCCAAATAAATTGCAACAAGAAATCCTATCCTATTAATATTATAAATGTGAAAGTTTCTTTGTTTGGATGTTTGTACGTCAATCACGCCGAAACTACTGAACGGATTTTGATGAAATTTGGTATACAGATAGGGTGTTAGCTGACTTAGATAATAGGATTTTTATCCCACTAAACATTTCCCTAGGGTCCACGCGGGCGAAGCCGCTGGCGAAAGCTACTTAAAAATAAATTGTAGGAGCGTTGAGCTTATCTCAGATAGAACCTGAGATTTTATATTATCTTCGATTTATTGCTTATCAGCATAATAATATTATGTAGGTATCTATTGCTCAGTATCAATATCAAAACAAGCATCCAATCGACACCAGAGGTATTTATCATTTCGCCTGCAAAGATAAATTATAATGTTTACGTTATGAAATAACATGCTTTAAGTATGCATGTTTTTTTCGGACTATGTATACATTAATCCCATTTCAAATAATAAATATTTTCCTGAGTAATAAAAATTTGAAATCTATTAGCCAAGCGTAAGAAATTATTATATTTGTGATGTCAAACTCTTATAGACCTTCAGCATCAAACAAGAAGGACAAATCTGTCTGTACACAAGCTCTATACTCCAAACACCACCACAATTTATGTTATCTGAATTTATATCTATACCTATCCTCCATTCTAATTTCGCAAGGAGTTAGTGTTATTCAGTAACGCTTTGACATCGATATTAGGTTATTTATTTTTTAAATCTTAAATTAGATCTGAACGGATTTACTTTTCAATGTCGATTGTGTACATTGCAATGATTTTGTTTCTATACAGATGGATTCACGTCATATTAAAAAAGAGGGTTAAGTATCGAAAAGAAAAATAAAGAAGAAAAGTTGAAGTTGAAGATGTTATTAATGCTATATGTTCTTTTACAGGTTCTAATCGCTAATAACGGTATCGGTGCTGTGAAATGTATGCGCTCAATTCGAAGATGGTCCTACGAAATGTTCAAGAACGAGAGGGCAGTCCGTTTCGTGGTTATGGTAAGAACTTTCATATTATGAAAACCTAATCACTGTCCTGATATCTACATATATTATACTAGCTGTTTTCCTGCGACATCGTTCACGAATATTTAAGCCTATGTCACCTACGTAAGATGCAGCTTCCTGTAAAACATAAGCTCTTATAGACTAAGAGTGTGGTCTCATTCATATTTTTAAACTCTCGTCACATTAAGGTTTAAAATCAAGTAGTGAAATTTGGCAGAGTTGTATAGTCTGATGTGATGTTCACTACAATGGCATTTTGATAAATAAGCGTTACAGTTTTTTTTTTATATTTGAAATACTAGCTGTTTTCCTGCAACTTCACTGTCGTAAATTATATTCTTAAGTCACCCGCGTATGACATAGCTTCACATAAGTAAAAGGATTTTTTTAAATTGGCCCAGTAGTTTCGGGGCCTGTTCAATGCGAACAAACAAACAATCAAATCTTTCCACTTTATGATATAAGTATATTAAAAGCACTATGTTATTTAATGATTTGTACTATCTCAACAGGTGACTCCAGAAGACCTGAAGGCGAACGCGGAGTATATCAAAATGGCTGACCACTACGTGCCGGTGCCGGGCGGGTCCAATAACAATAACTATGCAAACGTAGAGCTTATCGTAGACATCGCTATCAGAACACAAGTTCAGGTACCTATAATATTTTTAACCACCGCTAGATGGCGCTGATATTATTTTATGAATGGAAAACCTAGATTCAATCCTTTCAATCGGTAATGCAACGAATATGGAATCTACTATTTAACGAATATGTATATTCATACTTGTTTTCGTTGTGTCAGTGTTTTAATAACTTGAAAAACTACCAAACGTGGAAGTCTGAAAGATAGACTGGGTTTATGGTGGTGATGATGATAAAAGTTATAAAACTATTACGATCTTGTCTATAGGCTGTGTGGGCAGGATGGGGTCACGCGTCAGAAAATCCAAAACTGCCGGAACTGTTACACCGCGCTGGGGTCGTATTCATAGGCCCGCCTGAGAAAGCTATGTGGGCACTCGGAGATAAAATAGCTTCGTCTATAGTGGCGCAGACTGCTGATATACCTACCTTGCCCTGGAGCGGGAGTGGTGAGTAATTCATTTATTGTTTACTAACTGAACCCAGATCCTGTAATATGGTAGTTCCCGTAGGAACTTGAATGTTCCAATGGGAACTTTAGGATAGAAATACCTACTGCCGATGTTACTCAGTTATTATGTAGCTGTAATAAAATAAAAATAAAAAAAAATCCTTTTACTAACTCTCAATTTTAAAGACTCCAACAAATTTAAATTTCATTTAGAATTAAATTTCTTCATTATTCCATTCTAATAAATTATTTGTTTGTCATTTCATATTTTAGTTCATTTGTTAATATTTGTAATTTTATTAAGGAAAAAAAAGTTATATTTGTATATTATTAAATTTGCTTGAATTCTATAATGATTCATTATCCATTTTTAATCATTTTCCATTATTACTTTTATTATTGAGAGTCCCTAGCAAGGGTAAATCCCTAGCTGTAATATCCTACAGTGAAAATTTATAAATATAAGAGTCATATTGTAGTTAGACGACTTAAACAATTTATTACTGTTTTCGAATAACAAAATATTCCCGAGATGATGTTTAAAAAAATGTGTATAAGATAAATATCAATTCCGACAACCTCCAGCCGAGTGACGAGTGACGCCGGTTTCAAGGTGTCCCTATCTGAGGTTCGATTCCCTGTTGGTTCAATATAAAAAACTTTTTTATACTGTCTCAAGTGGTGTTGTGGTATTTGTCTTAGAATCTGAAGTTCGAATTTCATCATTAAGTTCGAATTTTCCATAAGCTTTATAAACAAATCAAGGGGCGTCGATTAATCACGTGATGTTTTTTCAACATTTTTTTGGTCACCCATCCTGTGACCGACCCTTGCGAAAGTTACTTAACGACAACGATCGCGGGCCGCGGCGCTTATCCACTCCGCCACCGAGTACCTACTCATCGTTCATTATTCTATTTTTTTTAATGTCTCAAATATAGACCTGACGGCTGAGTACAACAGTAAGAAAATCAAAATATCTTCAGAGCTGTTCGCTAAAGGGTGCGTCTCAACTCCCGAACAAGGATTACAGGCTGCTCAAAAAATCGGTAAGTAGGAAAAGCAAGATGATATAAGGCTAATATAGAACTAATACGCACTTTTTATGGACTGTATTTTTTTTTTTCAAAATATGTTAATGCTGTTCAGCATATCTTAAAAAGTTATGGATGACCTCCTAGGAATGCCATTAAGTAACCATAACGGTGTTGGTACTTGCCCTTACTGTACTGTCTAAAAATCCATTGTACATATATACTGATTTTTAGTGTTCCGTACCCAAAGGGTAAAATGGAAACCTACTACTGAGACTGCTTTCTCCGTCCCTCTGTCTGTCCATCTATCACCGGGTTCATAAACCATGTTGAAATAACGGATGTAATTTTCAAAATACTATTATATATTTGTTTTTCTTCAAACAGGTTTCCCCGTGATGATCAAGGCTTCCGAAGGCGGTGGTGGAAAAGGAATCAGGAAAGTCGAAAACCCTGATGACTTTGCCAACATGTTTCGACAGGTAATTGTTTTATTATATATTTTGGCTTACCTAGTCAATAATAAACCCTTAAAATTTTCCCATAATGTTGGGCATTGTTGGATAGGTCGATCGTTCAATTAAGTAAACTGTGAATTCGACTCGCACTTGACTATTTTTTTTTATAATTTTAAAGTGATTTCATTTATTGTTAACGAAATTATTTATATTTATTTTGTTGTTGTCAAATTATCTTTTATTTTTGTGTATACTATAATGATCAGTGGTCGGAATTAGGTAGAGTTATTCATGTACTTACACTGATTTCATACAGCGAAAGAATAAAGTGGATATGCCTCAAATCCCGAGATTAATTTTAAAGAGCAGAAAAAATCCCGTGATTTTTTAAAAAAAAGGTTATTTACTTTTACACAATTTAAACTACTGCACGCACGACGTCGCCAAACTTACATCAATGAAAGAAAGAAAGAAAAAATAAAGAAATCCCGGGAAGGTCCACATTAATATCAACATTTCGATGCAAGTACATAGATAACTCTACCTAATTCCAACCTCGGATAATGATATATTCTGCTATGTATATATGAAAAACTGAATTAATGAATGAATAGTATAATAATAATATATTACTCAGGTACAAGCAGAGGTGCCAGGTTCACCGATATTCGTCATGAAGTTGGCAAAGTCGGCTCGTCATTTAGAAGTACAGCTGTTGGCCGATCAGTATGGTGAGGATATGTTTATTTATCTATATATTTCAACTTAACGCAACCATCTCTTATGGTTGCAAAAATCCTTAAAAACTTAGAAATACATACACACCTATGCCGCTGTTGCTTTATAATAAAACTGTCGTCCTTGACACAGATTCATTTATTTATTCAATGCAAGTCACTCTTTTAAGGATTTATTCAATGCAGATACTCCTTGATTGCTACTAACGCCATCTATGGCGACTTGTATGCACTTTTCTCAATGAATCTCTCTCTTTAAAGCTTCACTTTGCCTGTTATTTTTTTTTTCGCCTAAAACTAAAGACTTAATGCCATAGCGGGTAAGTTTTCTCCCAGTCAACCTGTAAGTTTGTAAAGTAATAGTAGGCGGTTAAGACTAAAAAAGAATACTTAAAAAGTTTCAACACAACATATTATCGATTATGGCTACTCTAGATTATATTTTAACTTTATGCAACACCCGTAGATATTTAACTGTTCTAGCATGATATAATCTATATTTCCTTACTTCCGTGGCTTCCGTCAATATAGAAAATTAACATTTTTATATTGTCTCACATCTGGGTGTAGCACCTTCGTTGTTTCAGCTATCTATAATACCTGAAAAAATGTATGTTATATAGCCTAATATATTTATTGTCTACGTGTTAAAGGTAATGCTATCTCTCTCTTCGGTCGCGACTGTTCTATTCAGCGACGTCATCAGAAAATCATTGAAGAAGCGCCCGCCGCCATCGCCAAACCTGATGTGTTTATAGAAATGGAAAAGGTAAATTGAATAATATTATACCGGAAATTTTTCCAGATGATTTTAAACTGTACTTCCGAAGCGTTAAGGTAATGAAATGGTATATCCTTAGGATACTTTTCAATCAATAATTGTAATTAGTTTATCTTATAATTAGATGACAGAATTAAAAAAAAACTAGACAATCTCGAACCGGTAATGTTTCGCGACCCGAATTACTACTCTAAATTGATTGTATAACCAAAGAACTAAGCGAGTATTTTTACTTTTTATTTTTAAGAATTCTTTTAAAAGGGAAAGGAACGATTATTACGGGCATCGTGGCTTTTTTCTTTTTTTTGCCACAACGCGTTGTGCCGCGACACGGATTTTCATCTTCACAGATTTCTGTCATTGCCACAACGCGTTGTGAACTATTTTTTCGCTATACGAACGGTTTCTATCTCTGAACGTAACATATGCTGAAAAAAAATCACAATAAAGTTTTATGTAGTAAATGAGATTCACGTTTTTTTTTTCATAAAAAAAACAAAAGATTTTTATCAAAACAAATACAATACTAGTACTGTTGAAGTAAATACGATAAAATTTGGAATAATAAATAAAAATGTCTTCGTAATTTTTTTCTGCCAACGATGCTAAAACAGATAAAGAATCCACCCTATGTTGACTGACTTTTTCTTTTCGATAAATACTTTTTCTAGTTAAATTTGTATTATAATGTACAGATACCAATAGTCCTACAACAATCGTCTCCCGTTGGTATAATGGCGCGAAACTCCATGTCATGTGTCATTTAACTTCAATGTCAAAGTGACAGTGACATATAGTGATTGCCGTAATGCAGTCGATAAATAACTATATCGATATTTTTCGTCACGCAATAATAATGAATTATATTGTTGCTAGGCTGCAGTTCGTTTAGCCAAAATGGTGGGTTACGTGAGTGCGGGCACCGTGGAATACTTATACGACCCCGCCACCGGGTCTTACTTCTTCCTGGAGCTGAACCCGCGGCTGCAGGTGGAGCATCCCTGCACGGAGATGGTGGCCGATGTCAACCTGCCCGCCGCTCAACTACAGGTTAGTCGAATACACGTTTTTACCTAGGAGACAATTCAGGACATAGATCGATAACCCGTTTGTTTTTTTATTATTATAATTTTCTTATATGGACGTAAACTCAAAAACCCGACACTTTAGAGATGACGATGTCATTGTCGTGACCAATCTATTAATGTTTCCACTGCGTTGGACACAGACGTCCGCCATGAATGGAATCACTCACTACAAATTTGCTAAATAAGCCATTAAAAATGTATGTAAATATCTGAGGACCAATTATCCAATTTTGAAATCTATCGCAATCTTTTATAATTTGATATTTGAAAGATGTTCACCAATTTCGCGCTACAGCCTTTTGACATGTGAACGTAAACATAAAATCATCACTGATTACTATTGTATTGTGCATGAACAGATCGCCATGGGGCTTCCCTTGTACCATATAAAGGACATCCGTCTCTTGTACGGTGAATCCCCGTGGGGCATGACCGCCATAGATCTGGACACGCCTAAACAACGCCCGTCACCCTGGGGACACGTCATCGCAGCCAGGATCACATCCGAGAACCCAGATGAAGGTTAGAAATGCATGTTATTATTATTAATGAGGAAGTTTTATATTAAAAATAAAAAACAAGGAAATAGTAAAACAATAGGATGTTTGACTAATTTTTAAAAATTGTTATAATTAATTGTTTATTACGTAACTAGCTTTCCGCCAGCGGCTTCGCCCGCGTAATCTTGTATTACACATAAAAACCTTCATTTGTAATCACCCTATCTATGAAAAAAAACCGCATCAAAATCCGTTGCGTAGTTTTAAAGATTTAAGCATACATAGGGATATTATAGGGACAGAGAAAGTGCCATTGTTTTGTACTATGTAGTGATATGCACATTACATTAATATTTAAAGGAAGTTACTGCATTTATCGATAAAAATAAACTTTTAGTTAAATAAAAATAATTTCCGAAACCGCACATAACGCTGTTTCTGTCATACGCCGCGTATGACGTCACACGCAAGTGAAAAAAACAAACCATATCAAAATCAAAGATCGAATAAAACACCCACAAAAGAACATAAAACGCGCATTACTGTTGTCAACTACAATCGTCAACAGGAAGCCATATTTATCAGCGTGTGACGTCATCGAAGTTGCAACAATGAGGAAGTATTAAAAAAAAATTGTTTCCGAAATCTAACTAGATGTCGCTACGGTACGTTCTTGATTACTCCATGACAAACTTTCCGGTTTTCTTTCAAGTTTAAAAGTAAATTAGTTTTCAAAACTCAATAAACAACTCATATTCTATTTGTACTTTTTCGTATTTGTATTGATATCTGAGTTTTGAACTTTTCAAATTTCAGTTCTTTAATATGTTACTTAAAGGAACCGAAATGACTGTCTTTGGTCCATTCGTTTCCTGCATATATCAACTTTTGCTAGGGTCGCCATCTAGTGGAGCTGATTTTTTTAATACTTCAAAAAGTCAAACAATATTTAATTTTATTTTGTGTAATCTGCAAAAGTTATACGTTATTTCGTTTAAAATACAGTGAAATATGTGTTACTATTACACTACTACCTTAACTTTAAAATTGTGGTCAAAATTTTTTATATATTTTTAATGTTGTCAATTCTGAAGGGTATTACTGGATAATTGTACATTCGAAATTATGTGATAACAATCATAGTATCTTTCATACTGCGGCGGGCGTGTATGTGTGTAACGCATTAGCATTACAAATGACTATCCATGACATACACATACCAATATGACGTCACTTCCGAGGGTACACGAAGTTTTTCAAAAGACAAGAAGACGTGTTTATTTTAACGAAATGTTTTTTTTTTTTGTTGCTTATCAATTAAAAATATTTTTTATAAGTACTTTTTCAAACATAATACCTTGTGTTCATAAGTTTTGTGACGAAATAAAAGTTGCGTAACTTTCTTAATAATTAACTCGTATTTCAAAAATTTTCAGTAACCATTAATGTGGGAAATCTCTTAAATAGATAAATCAACAACAGAAGAGAATAAACAACAACAAAATATACATTTTATTGAAAATGACCGCCCTTGTTTTAATATGGGCCTTAGACGATTTGGCCAGTCATCAATGGCGGCACGAATCTTTTCTGGCGGAATTCGCTTTGCTTCTCGAACAAGGGTTCGCTTCAGTTACTCCAAGCTTGGGTGGGACTTTCGGCAGGCCCCGAGCTCTAATTCAGTCTATTAAAAATAAACCAGCGGGTTGAGGAGGTCAGGGCTGGAGGAGGTCCATTTGTCCGCCGCGAAGAAGGTCGGCAAATTCTCCCTCAACCAAGCTTGGTTGCTTTTTGCCTTATGCGATGGCGCCGAGTCTTGCCGAAAAACCCAATCCTTATTAAATGTTAGGGGTTTCACCACGCGCTCTAAAATGACACTTTGATAAGTCTTGGCTTTCACTTTGACACCTTGTTGGCAGAAATGGAGCGGAGTGACACCTTCATACGAAACTCCTCACCATATCATCACACTAACCAGAAGCCGGGACATCCTTGCTACTTTTAGCGTACACTTTGTTTTGTCGGTTGAACTTTACTTCGACAGCATAAATTTTCTCGTCGGTGAAGAGTAATTTCCTGGCATCATGTCTCCTCAGCAGCGATGAACAACGTTCGCGTCGTAACTCGCGAAGACGATCGTTTAAAAAATGAACTTTTCTACGGCTAATAGGCCTTTACCTTAAGATCACATTCTATGATAGATCATACTAAGTATTCTGTTCACTGAAAGGCGCGAAATATTAATCTGCAGAGCGAGTTTCTTCTGAGTGCGACATGGATTTCGGCCAAGTCGCTCTCGGATGATTTTGATGTTCGCGGGTGTTCTCACAGAGCGTGGCCGACCACTCCTTTTGCGATCTTGCAGAGAAACCGTCTCTTTGTACCATTGTATTTTGTAATAGACGAAGTTACATCTTACAGGAAAACTTCAGCTCGCGGAAAATCTGCATCGGTTTTTTTCCCGCCTTAAAAAGGGAAATGAGAGTTGCACGTAATTGTATCGTTCCCTCCATCACGAAAAACTATAAACAAATGAATTTGCGATACAAATAAACTAAAGTTAACATTCTAATTCAAAATCTGAAAAAAATAACAGCCAGGAAAAAAATTTTTTTCCAGTAAAATGTTTCTCTCTAAACTTATGGACACACGAGGTAAATAACCTTTTACGTTTTGCGATTCGTGACGGTGTTCGCCCTATTTGAATACGATTATAATATCCATCTAGATAACGAAAAGTCAAAGTATGCTCTATGCAAATCTATAGAATATTATATATAACCGTTGAATAATGTTATATACACATAACTCGATCAGGATTCAAGCCGTCGTCTGGTACTGTGCAAGAGCTGAACTTCAGATCGTCCAAGAATGTGTGGGGATACTTCAGTGTAGCCGCCTCTGGTGGACTTCACGAGTTTGCCGACTCGCAGTTCGGACATTGCTTCTCATGGGGTGAAACCAGGGAGCAAGCTAGAGAGTGAGTCCATATGTTTTTTTTAATTTTTTTACTCGTTGTAAAGAAAAAAAATTGTAATCAATAATCTTCACGTGTTTTCCTCTCTTTCTTACGTCGGAGATAGAGAAGAAGAAAAATGTTTTTAAACACGTTTTACTTGTGTACCCGTCGATCTGTCGCTTTACCCAATAGTTTGGTTACTACATCTCTACTAATATTATAAAGAAGAAGAGAGATCTGTTCGTTTGTTTATATTAAAAAGGAACCGAAACCACTGAAACGATTTAAAAAAAAAACATCTATGTCATACGCCGGTGACGAAGACGATTTTTTTTTAAATAAGATTTAATATGGTTATAGGCTTTTTGATTGTAAATATATATGTAAGTTAACCAAATATAAAAAAATAAACCTTAGGAAAAGCATGTCTTCTCCAGAAATTTGGTGATAGCATTAAAGGAGCTCAGTATAAGAGGGGACTTCAGAACGACAGTGGAATATCTGATCACTCTGTTGGAGACCACAGCCTTCCAAGAAAATAACATTGACACCAGCTGGTTGGACGCCCTCATAGCTGAGAGAGTAAGTACACCCATATCTATATGGGTACTATGCGAGCCAAATAACAATACTACTATATATCAATCAGCCAACTTAGTTTACATTGCCCTTCAACTTCAGGGTGTAAGGTGTGGAAAAAAGTAATTTCATATAAATCAATGCATTATTGTAGTATATTATAACGGATTACGATACACTGACATTTGTAATTATACCTGAAGTTATAAAATAGCGACACAACTAGACATATTTAATGATTTTAAAAAATTAAAATATATTTTATTAATTCTTTATGAAGTCGTGTCAATACTAGTAATAATAATGTATATCAAGTTAAACAAATCCAAAAAATATTTAGCAATCATTATTTTCTTTGCTATCAGTACTTAAATGACAACTTAACCGTGAAGTTGGTATTACTACGCACTTGACTTAAGTCTAGTCTCAAATATTAGGCATTAAACCTAACTATAGCCCCAGATATTAAGCGTTAACCCTAACCATACCCCAAATACTATATACTTAACCTAACTATTGCCCCGAATACTAGACGCTCGCACCAAATGTTTATTATAGATAGATACTGTGATTAATTTGAGCATATAACACAAGGTCCAATCGGAGAAGCCTGATATCATGCTGGGCGTGCTCTGCGGTTCTATTCTTATCGCAGACAGCATCATCACAGCCCATTTCCAAGAGTTCAAGAGTGCTTTAGAAAAGTGAGTATTTAGATAGTTTTAGAGATGAATATATGGTAGTTTTTAACCGACTTCAAAAAAGGAGGTTATCAGTTTTACTTTTATCTATGAATGTTTGTGCGCGATTATCTAGCGTTTAGCTGAACCCATTTTGATTCGGTTTTTTATTATTATACATTTTAATAAATATGGATAATTGGTTACATTTTAGAATTTATTTGTTTATTCACTTCTAGGTTTACATATTTTAAGTTCACGTACATTCAAATAATAGGTATAAAAATATCAAGTATAGAATCAAACTTTAAAATCCTTTTAGTTTTGTTGTATGTGATAAAGAAGGTTGGCAATTTTTGTATGGACTTTGGACCAAGTGCTTCCCAACAAACTTAACCAAAATGCTTCATACTCGCAAACTTATAAACGCGATACAATTGCATCACACAGGGGTCAAATCCAAGGCTGCGGCCAGTTGTCCAACTGCGTGGACGTGGAGCTGATCCACAGCGGCCACAAGTACAAGGTGCAGGCCACCAAGTCGGGGCCCACGTCATACTTCCTCAGCATGAACGGCAGCTTCAAAGAGTTGGAGGTTCACAAACTCACAGACGGAGGTGAGGATTTTATAATGCACTTTCGACCGTATTTTTTCTTTTTTAATATTAGACAATTGTGGTTTTGAAAATAACACTAATGTTATGTTGTATGAATTAATATGTGTTATGTATCTCTATTTATAAATGTTTTTCACTCTTTCCTCAGGTACTCTGCTGTCTGTAGATGGTGATTCGTATACTACATATTTGAAGGAGGAAGTTGACAAGTATCGTATAGTGATCGGCAATCAAACCGTCGTGTTTGAGAAGGAGAAGGATCCATCTAAACTGAGGGCGCCATCTGCCGGTAAACTTATCAACACTCTGGTGGAGGATGGAGGTCACGTCGATAAGGGACAACCCTATGCTGAAATTGAGGTAATAAGCGTTTATTAATCTATTGTACCATTAATATTTATTAGTATCTATACTGATATTATAAAGAGGTAAGTTTGATTGTTTGTTTGCAACGAACAGGCTCCGAAACTTCTGAACCGATTTATACTGGATATTTTATCCCGAAAAACAGCAAATAAAGGGATGAAAATGAGAGTGAGTGGAAGTTTGTATAGGGAATTAAAATGTTACCATAGTAACCATTGATTACAAATTGAATAATTTGTCACTGTGGTTATATCCGTGTCATGATAGGAATCGATATCCAAATAAACAGTTCCTTAGGGACTACGCAGGCGGTGCCGCTGGCGGAAAACTGATATATAATAATAATGCGTGATTTATTAAACGCAAATATATGACGACCTCCGTAGCCGAGTGGTTCCCACGACGGTTTTAAGGTGTCGCCATCTCTAAGTGACATTACACTACCGGTGAATATAGAAAATAACCTTTTGTGCTACCTTCGCTGTCTCATACTCAATAATACGGGGGCGTTAGCTACTCGTCTTGGAATCTGAGCAATATAAGTGATGACTTATATTTATTTATTTATCACAACTTAGAACTTACAGCGTAAAATTTGCCACAGTTAAAGTTTATGTGAAAAAGAGTGAAGTTTTTTCCCGACTGTCGTTTACACTCCTCTCACGTGGTTCTCTATATTTCAATTAGTTCATATTGAAAACCTGTAGTGGGGATATTTAAAAAAAATGATAATCATATTCCAATGTAAATTAGTGATAATTGTTTGATAACAGGTGATGAAAATGGTGATGACACTATCCGCTCCAGAGTCTGGTAAAGTGACGTGGAACTTGAGGCCCGGAGCTGTACTCGACGTGGGATCACTGATGGGCACACTTGGTAAGTACCAATTGGGTAGTTGACTCATATACAATCAACGAAAATAACGTTCGAAAAGTACATTTTTTTAAATAAATGCGTTTAGTATTAGGTGCAAATGTCTACTATGGCTATTAGAGTGCTGTAATAGTACATTACGATATTAGTGCGTTATGATCAATTACGCCCTCGCCTACGGCTCGGGCTGAAATTCCGCCTCGCATGTTATAACCAATACACACGTATATCGTACGACGTTTTTAACACATTTACGAGTAAACAGAAAAAAAAATAATTAAATAAACTCAATCTGTGAATGTACACTGTTACTTTCCCGCCATTTTAACAGCGCGCTAGCGCTGCCTACTGACTGGCGCCGCGCTGCGATTAGTTCGAAATTTGAATAGCAACAGCGCGCGAAATGGCAAATAATACTGTTATGGAATTTGAATGGACTATAACTTAATTATTGGCTTTGGTAACACACGCGTTTTTTATGACCCGCTTTACATATTTAAAACCGGTGGAATTACAGAGCAAAGGTGTTAAAAAATCAATTTAAATACGTTAAGATTATAGTACAATGTTACTATTCCCAATAGATCAGTAGATTCCCAATAGAAACTTAATTAAACGGTAACATTTGACCTCTTTGTGACCAGAATTGGATGACCCCTCGCTGGTAACGACCGCGCAGCCGTACAAGGGTCAGTTCCCGATGGAGGACGTGCAGACTGTATCCGAGAAACTGAACCACGCCCACAACAAGTACAGAGCTATATTGGAGAACACTCTGGCTGGTGAGTCTAGTGACAGGGACCGTTAATTTATTTTAATTTCTAGTATTAAAGTTGAACACATCACTTTTTATAGGAAACTTTAATTTTTAAGTTCTCCTATATGTATTGAGAGGCAACAGTCATTACTATATTATTATATACTATACTGAAAAATATTCTTAATGAAAAATGCTTAAAAAATACACTTTGTCCCATCCCAGAGCGCCAGAAACAAAGTGGATTTTCACTAAGACTCCGCTGTCCGTCCATCTGTCACACCTCAGGGCCAGGCTGTACCTCGTGAGCCGTGATAGGTAGACAGTTGCAATAGCACAGAGAATCTATTTCTATTGTCGCTATACGAACAACTGAAGACATAATAAATTATATATTTAAAGGCGGCTCCCATATACCAAGAGATTTTTTCGTTTTATAAAGATAATGGTACGGAATCCTTCGTGAACGATTCTGATACGCACTCGCTCCTTTATTGGTTTTACAAATAACCCTGTATATCGAGTTTCAAATAACTAATATATTAACTGGATATGATTTAGATAAATGTCTAGATCACTGTATTCATGAAAAAAAAACTCAATTGAATGTTTCCATTTAGGTTACTGTTTGCCGGAGCCCTACAACACTCCTCGTCTACGTGAAGTGGTTGAGAAATTCATGCAAAGTCTTCGTGACCCTTCACTGCCGTTATTGGAACTGCAAGAGGTCTGTTTATTTTTTGGCTCACTTTGAAAAGCGCTATCCATTTGTTAATATTCAAAAGGAGAGAGGATATGGTGTATTTCTTCTACATTTGCAAAAAAATGGTTAAAGGAGTTGAATTGGGAATGAAATTTTTCATATAAAGGTTCGTAGTCAAAATAACTATACCACGCTGTAGAAGTCGCAAGCAAAAGCTAACGAGCTCATATAAAGCCCGCACTCCGCATGCGGACCCTGACGACTAGTGTAAACAAGCCACGGCTGTACTTCAGGCTACCACAATATATAAAAAACTTCCTAAACTAATTCTGGATTCTACTATAGTGCATAGAGATGTTAAATTAAATATAGAAAGAATCATGTCTTTCCATTCATTGATTGACCTGCCGCATGTTTTTTAGAAGTCGCTTGTAACCAACATTAGTGATAATTTAAATTTGTGTTTGATTAAATTATAATAATATCTTAGCGTCTTTTTTATCTAGAATCCTGGGAGATTCATAAGTTGTATATATTCTTTTGAGATTATAACAGCTGTCAGAAGTTGAGATAATTGTTAATTTGTACTTTTTTACCTTATGACTAAAGAACGTTTTTTCCGAAGCAGATAAAACGAAACGTAGCAAACCGTCATTGGGTCCGAATCGTATTGGGGTAGTGTAGAAAACCATCATTTTTAGGTTCCGAATCGCATTCTGGTAGTTATTATCATAGTACTATTTAAAAATAATTATCAACCTCGCAATTTTTATTCTGACCTTAATTTAAGATTTCATTTCTTTATACGAATTAAGTAAAAAATAAGGTACATTTGGAGATATGTCACATCACTAGACGCGTAAGTAATTTTTAAGGTCAAAATTTGATATGATTATTTGTCAATTTTGTATATCTTGACTCAATAAATAAATATTATACATCACTACATACATTGCTCATATTCGAGGATGAGTTGTCAAAACCCTCAACGAGTAATCTCTAATCAAAGTAGATCTGAGACAACGACGACACCACAACACCCAGACCCGGGACAATATTAAAAAAATCATTTTATGTATTGTAAATTATATTTTATAACAGGTTTTGTCATCTACCTCCGGCCGTATACCGATAGCTGTGGAGAAGAAAGTAAGGAAACTGATGGCTTTATACGAGAGGAACATCACCTCCGTGCTCGCGCAGTTCCCGAGCCAACAGATCGCCAGCGTCATAGACCAGTGAGTCAACCATCGATAGCATTATCACGTAGAGATGCGCCGAATGTACGGTTGATATTCGGTATTCGGCATGTTTTCACTATTTGTTTCGACCAAATTATTCGGTTTTAGTGCCGAATATATTCGGTTCGAGTATTTTAATATATATATATTGAAATCTTAAGTAACATTTATGTTATAAGTCAAAGAAATTTAATGGAAAATGTATTTAATGAAGCCAATAAAATAAAGCAATTAAATTTTAAATCAACTTTTATTCATAAACTTGTTTATGCGAAAAACGGTTGAATGGTAAACCGAATAAACCGACCAAATATTCGGTGAAACCATTATTCGGTGCATCTCTAATTATGAACACCCCCATTAATGTAAATGTTGATTACTATTGTATCCTATCTCTTGTTATAGTCACGCAGCATCCCTCGCCAAGAGAGCCGACAGAGACGTCTTCTTCATGAGCACACAAGCCTTAGTTGTTCTAGTACAACGATATAGGTGAGTTGGCAAGAGTTTACTGTTGCAAATAAATATCTGAAAAGAATATTTATTTTCAATATTGATATTTTAATTTAATATCAGAGTATTCTTGCAATTAGAATGCGTTTGAATAATATGGACTGCTGACGGTTGGGAAACGAACCTGTTGCAATCCGCACCTGCTATTTATATCTGCTAGGATATTAATTTGAATAAACATTTACAGTCTTACTATAAAACGAGCTCCGAAGTTAGTAGTTGGCCCAAACTATTGAGAACTACGACAATTTGCCGCCTAAAGCAAATTGTCAATGACAGAAGAGAAAACGTCAAATTGAGACGTGTTACTTATTTTGGTCAAGTACTTACTGGTTTAAATCTGGTATTAAGTTAGTCCTCGTTTTATGATAAGTCTGTTGCAGTTCGCTTCGTTTACATTCCAGTAGTGTTAAACCCACAATATCAATCTAAACAATAAAACTATTGTGATTCGTCTTATACAGGGTTATTTGTAAATCATTAACATTTGATCTACTAGTTTTAACATAACTAGATATTTTAAACAGATACGATTTTTTAAGTTGCTATTGTACTATTGTAACATATCCATGTTTTATTCATAAACGAATCTTCAACGCTACGCACGCACGCTGTGTGAAATACCTATATATGTTAATTACTAGATACGCGCGTTATTAACAATCCAGTGATAAATCTTTATATATAAGAATCAATTGCTGTTAATTTGTTTCGCTAAAACTCGAAAGAGCCTGGGCCGATTTAGCTAATCTTGTGAGTTTTGTTTTTAAATGTTTATCGTAGTCCAGGGAAAGTTTAAACGGTGATTGGTGATACGAAATAAACTAGGTCATCTGGTTTTACTAGGTATTTCAAAAGTCATTGAATAAGAGTTATTATCCATTATGTTAGCTACCTAGTCGTGCGAGGTTGATGATGATTTACAAATAACACTGTATATATATATTTTTTTGTATAATGTATTCATTCATTATAGAAACGGTATTCGCGGTCGTATGAAGGCGGCCGTTCACGATTTACTGAAGCAATACTATCAGGTTGAGAGTCACTTTCAACTAGGTGAGTTATTTATAACTCATGCGAATTAACTAGACACCTGAGTGCCTATTCTTTTTATTCTCGAACGAAATTTCGGATCGTTCTTTTAATATGGTTAATATCATTATCCGTGAAGATTTATCTGCACATCAGAGGCAGTGTCAGTTCCTATCTTCGTTGCATTATAAATTATCAAAACATTCGTTTCTGTAGAATCGTATTAGCATTTGAAAATAGACGTAATTTCATTTTCGGAGAATATAAATAGGCTTTCAGGTATCATGTTAATTCGTATGTAATATGTTGTAAGTTTATAGAACTTATAGAACCACTTCTAGTCTATCGCGTAACGTTAAATTTAATCGTGTTACCATACCTTATTTTAAACCTGGTACTAAAGTTAGTATTCGATGAATAAATCTTTAAATACGATCTTATGTGTCTATTTCTTTTTTTATTTACTTGGTATAAATTTATAATGCAGGTTCTTACGACAAATGTGTGGTGGCACTCCGCGATCAATACAAAGACGACATGCAAGCTGTAGCCAACATGATATTCTCACACAACCAAGTTCCAAAGAAAAACCTATTGGTAAGTGCAATTATGATGAGGAAGTACATAAATTAAGAACACAAAGAAAGCACTAAAAAAGATGGCGACTCTACCAAAAGTTGATTTTTGCAGGAAACGAATGGACCAAATATAGTCATGTTTGACGATTTGACGATCTTCCTCTGCCCTTTTTCTTGTCCGGAATTGTCAGTGCCTCTTTACAGTGTCTTCATCTTATCTATTATATAATATACTCATTGCGTCTGTTTTGTGTACATGTCAGAATGACGACATGTATAACATGACATGACAACTTTTTCGTGGATATAAATAAGTTTAAATTTTAAATTAATTTTTTTTTTTGCAAGAAAACATATTAATTTAATATTACGTCATACGCTTTAGATTTTTGTTTAAAGCCACGTGATAGGCAGCTCAAATAGTAAATTAATTTTTCTAATTATATGTGATCTGTACTTAATCATTAAAAATTATATACCTACTAATGGACTAATAAATAATGGATGTTTTTAATTATAAATAAGTTGGATATTTTATATTGATTACTGTCAACAACTCTATAATTGTAACATAGGTGACGTTGCTGATAGACCACCTGTGGTCCAACGAGCCGGGCCTCACGGACGAGCTGGCCGCCACGCTCAACGAGCTCACCTCGCTGCATAGGGCAGAACACAGCAGAGTGGCCCTTAGAGCGAGACAGGTGATCATACTAACTACAAGTACAAAAGTAACAGGACACTTGATGGCCTCCGACCTGTTATATTTCACCGAATACAAAAAAAAGAAATGCTGTTTTCGATAATTTATGATGCAACGGATGTAGAACTCGATACTGCCTCTGTTGCACAGATAACAGGGATGACGACTAATTTTTGTTTGTTTGTCCGTCAGGTAGAGTTTTAAAATATATTAAAAGTAAATTTTCGGAAAATTTCTTCGAGGACAAATAAAATAAGCCCTCAGAATAGTTATATAGCAAAGTGTAATTTTGTTTTAGGTGTTAATAGCAGCTCACCAGCCCGCTTACGAGTTACGTCACAATCAAATGGAATCAATATTCCTGTCCGCCGTGGACATGTACGGACACGACTTCCACCCGGAGAATCTGCAGAAGTTAATCCTGTCTGAAACATCGATATTCGATATTTTGCACGATTTCTTCTACCACACTAACGCAGCGGTAAATTTCTTTTTTTATTTAATAGTAAAATGAAGTCACTTTCGGTAATTAGGTTTTTTTTTTATTTTGGTAATTATATCTTGTGACATGTCCAATGAAATAGCTTGTGAAAAACACAAATATATATTTATTTCAAATTCAAAATAGATCTAAAACATAAAAATACTCTCAATTGTCATAATAACAAGTTTTTTAAGAAATTCTATGGTCTCGTTAAAATTCAGAACGACTGAACCGGTCTCTTAGTCATAGTCAGTATATTTAAGTCGAATTATACTTATTCAAAGTTTTGTAAATATATGTACTTGAGAGCGGTAATTTTACATTAAGAGAGCCACAGGTTGTCGACCCCTGATCTAGCACGATAGATTTTTAAATTATTCATCTGTAATGTAGACTTATTTTTTATTGTAGGTGTGTAACGCAGCTTTGGAGGTGTATGTCCGTCGCGCGTACACATCGTACGAGATACAATGTTTGCAACACCTGGCGTTGTCTGGTGAACTGGGCGTGGTACATTTCCAATTCGTACTGCCCACTGGACATCCAAACAGGTGAGATTGACGTTTATCAGTGGCACTATCACCTAATTTACGGGTCAATAATGTATAAAGTTATTAGACTTGTTGTCTGATAGAGATTCTTATATATAACCCGTAGTGCAGGGGAACGATTCTATAAAAAATCCGATTTCTAATTCATTCATGTGTCTGAAGTCACGTCATCTAGTGTAGAAATTCTATTGGTTCCATTTTTGTATAAAAATGTAAAACAAGATTCATACGTGTCTCAAATATTTTATTTCTGTATCATTTTGAGACTCATTTCACTAATGCCACGAAACGTTATTACCAATTTGAAGTTAATTCGTACATGTGAGTGAATTCGAACTCTGTTTCGGATTTTTACAGAATCACAGGGCAGGCCAACACTTTCCGTTATTATAGGTTACGACATTTAACATTTTAAATTACAAAATACATATGCATATGGGTGTAGTACATATGTTGTGTTAAACGACCGAAGGAATGACTAACGATTCCGTAGTCGAGTAGTTCGCATACCGGTTTCAAGTTGTTTGGTTTGATTTCTTGCGCATTGGGCCAGCGTCCTCCTTAACCATCCATAAGGTATAAATGCCTAAGCTCCTGCAGGGGAGACGTAAAAAAGCTGATCATGATGACTTCACAATACGAGGGAATTCAGCTACTAATATTGAACCTTGAATTGCAACCTTACGCGTTAAACCAGGGCTTGGCAATGCGGCGATGCTCTATATACTGTATGTAAAGTGAGTATGGTGGTGTGTGTGTGTGTGCGGGCAGGATCCCGATCAGCCAATCGGAGATCGAGCTGTCGGCGGCGCAGGACGCGCAGGGCGTGCCCGCGGAGCTGTGCGCGGCCGCCATGCGCAAGTGCCACCACCGCACGGGCGCGCTCGCCGCGTTCCACTCGTTCGACCAGTTCGTGCAGTACGCGGACGAGCTGCTCGACCTCATGGACGACTTCTCCAGCACGGCCACGGTCCGCAGGGAGGTACGGACCACCTATTATTATTATTATATCACATAGACGCCTTTGTATTTGTAATATGAATAATTATTTTTTTGAATATGTATTGCAGTACAATAGATATTTGTTTAGAGTGAACTAACTTTGAATATATTGAACGTTTGATATTTGAATGTAATCAAATTGAAAATCATAAACATAAAAAGTATTTATGTTGCACACAACAATTGCTTAAATTGAAAAAAAAAAACTAGTATTTTATATTCCTTGTCACGTGACCGCAAATAGTGCGCTATGTCACGCCCTCCTTACTCATACCAGAACTTGGAGAATTCAAGCTTACGCGTACATAGAACGATGTAAGTTTCAGAGGGCCGAACTTATTAATAATAATAACTTATTAGTAATATTATCCCAGACCAAAGTTGTGAACAAAAGAATCAAGCGACCGCTTGAAAAGATTCCGATCCGACCGAGCATTCTCTCGGTTAATAATCTGTATCGACCGGTACTTTTCGAACGGTTCTCGAGCCTTGCTGATGTCATACAAGGTGGTATAAAATTTGCGGGGTTAGCTCTGATTCATAAAGAGATATATATATGATAAATATTTTTTTGTGTATCGATACAGGACCTTCAATCCCTACAAGATGGAAGCGAAAGTCGCGACAGTACAAGTATAAACGTCGGTATGGACTACAGCAAGATACCGGATTCGGAAGATTTGGTGAGTGATCGACTATTGTCGTAGAAATGAATTTATAAACATTTTAGTGGTCACCACAAAATGGACAGACACCACACATTTATTACTTAAAATTACTGGCATCGCCATGTTTTCTTTTGTTACATAAAAGTAAGAAAGTGCGTCTTGACAGTTCTTTCATAAGATCCAAAGACCCTTAAAGTTAAAATTCATTAGCAGTCACAAGAATGAAAACAGATACATGAAAGAAAAATATTCTTCTTAAAAAAATTGAGAGAATTCCGAATATTTCGTATAATCCTGTTAAAATCATATACATAAAGATTATCTGCATCAGATATATGGTCAGGTCCTTCCTCCGTTGCATCATAAATTAACGAAAATTGTCTTTCTTTGGAGAATGTATTAGCATTTCGATAATAGAAGAAATTTCGGTTTTGGAGAAAATTAGGCCTCCAGGGACTGCCGTCTAGACAGTGTCTGCGATCGTTAAATAGCGATCGCAGAGGCTACTGACCAATTCGTCAAACAAAATCGCTAAAAAACTAACGAACGTCACTAATTTAAAAGTTGAACTGGATTAACGAATTACAATAAACGTAGCTATAGGGATTTTCAATGAACGTTAAACAACGGTCGCTGTGAGTAAGCGATCGAATTCGGTAAAATTGCGATCGTAAACTCTGACGAGACTACATACAGCCAGGTTATTTAGTACGTGTAGTAATGTATTACTATAATGGTTACGATAGCCTTTGGAGCCGATCCACATCCTGATGATCGGCGTGCGCGACACCGGCGAGAGCGACGACAGCGCGGTGGCGCGACGCTTCGGCAACTTCTGCCGCGCCCACCGGCACGAGTTGCACCAGAAACGTATCAGGAGGATCACATTCATGTCACTCATCAAGTAAGTGCTAAAGGATATACACTTCAATACGGTGTTTAGTTGATTGTAAAGTTTAAAATTGATTTAAACTCCTTACAAAAGGTTGATAATCTATGAAATAGTTAAGAGGGAATTCGCCTAACAATTTCTTACGTGTTTATATTGGTTACTTCAAAGCTCTTTAATTATGTTAAGAATTGGCTACTGGACTGTTATGGGAAAATTACTTTCATCTTTACAGGTGTTATATTTTTATTCATTGTTAAGTTGTCACGTGATATTTCGAGCTGTGACGTCACATCTCAATGAGCATGAGTATTGAAATGTGATATCACACGGCGCTGCGTCATGGCCGCCCGCGTTTCGGTTATGAGCGTTTAATATAGCAAAGATTATAAATATATATACACACTTATAGTTTACATTAAACCAAAAAATACTGCATAGGTTATCGTCTATGTACAACATATTTCATAGTTTATCGGTACAACTGTCGAGTGGGCACTAGTTAAAGTTAATATTGTATGATCAGACGTCAGTTCCCGAAGTTCTTCACGTACCGCGCGCGCAACGAGTTCACGGAGGACACGATCTACCGCCACCTGGAGCCGGCGTCCGCGTTCCAGCTGGAGCTGTACCGCATGCGCAGCTACCAGCTGGAGGCGCTGCCCACCAGCAACCAGAAGATGCATCTGTATCTCGGCAAGGCCAAGGTATCACACACCACACACCACCACACCACACACCACCCCACCGACAATGATAAACTCCAATTGTATTGAAAGAGTTTTCATTAAATTATGTGACTCGTCAACAGGTAAAGAAAGGTCAAGAGGTGACCGACTACAGATTCTTCATTCGTTCCATCATCAGGCACCAGGACCTCATCACCAAGGAGGCTAGCTTCGAATATCTGCAAAACGAAGGCGAAAGGTAATTAAAATCCTTTATAATTATGGCATTTTTGAGGTCTTATATTCCTTTCCAAATTTGGTAAATGCAGAAAATAAACATGCCTTATGTTCTTAATCTAATATCATACTTATTAGATTCCACAGTATCAAGGTAAAAAATATTTTGACAATATTTGTTTATTCATTACAAGCTGTCCTAACAGACTATTCAGGAAATAATACTTTTATTATTACACAGGGTGCTTCTAGAGGCTATGGACGAATTGGAGGTGGCTTTCTCTCACCCTCTCGCTAAGAGGACTGACTGCAACCACATTTTCTTGAACTTCGGACCCACCGTAATCATGGATCCAGTAAAGGTAATATGATAAATAATTATGAATATAAAATAATGAGTTTCAATTAATTAGAATATATATATTACTTTCACTGAAACAAGATGAAAATTATTACTAATAAAGCATTGCATAAATAAAGTATTTTGAATACAAAACTCGTCAAAGTATTATAGCGGCTATACTCGAGTCTGTTTCTTGGATTTCTAGGGCTCCGCAAATTATATATTGAAAGTCCACAGAACTATTTGTTAAATTTAAATACAATAACATCAATCTTGACATCAAACAACCGATTGAAAATAGAAATCAATCCCTTACCTCGCAGTAACAATCTATACGCAATCTTATTCGCAAATGATTGGAGGTGAAGTAATATATGTATGTTACTTATTATTATTATAAGCAGTCCACGTGAAACTAAGTTATGTTTTTAATCATCAGATCGAGGAGTCAGTTCTTGGCATGGTCAGGAGATATGGTCCCAGATTGTGGAAACTCAGGGTTTTACAGGCGGAGATCAGATTCACTCTCCGAACTGGTGAGTACACTTTATGTATATTTTTATTTTTAATTTATGAACACAGCGGACATCAGTACTTTTACCCTGAAAAGTAAGGTGCTGTTTGCATCAGTAATTTAAATTATACACAAATATAAATATATACAAATTGTGTACATAGATATTATTGAGGAGCTCGATGGCGCAGTGGTTAGCGTCTCGCTCTGCGATGTCAAACTTAAGCAACTTTCACAAAGGCCAGTCATGGGATGGGTGGCCAGAAGCCTCGTTATTTGGAAGGCACTTTAAGCCGTTTGTCCCGGCTACATCTGCAGTCGTTAACATCCACCAATCCACACTTAGCCTTCGTGGTGGGCCATTCTTCCAATTCGATTGGGTTAGATCAGGGAAGACTAATGCCCAGCAGTGGCGACAACGTTGATGATAATAATTATATTTTTCCTGTATTTGCAATACCTATTCATATTGTTTTAGGACCAGGAGCCCCCACAAAAAATGTGAGGTTGTGTTTATCCAACGGCTCAGGATACTCCCTGGATATATACACGTATGAGGAGGTCTCCGACCCCAGGACGGGAGTGGTGAGTTGCATCGGAAAATATAATGATTTATCAACCTATAGCGTCTTACAAATCGAACGTTGCTTTAGCCTTTGAAAGTTTTCTTTTTGCAAATATACATGAAATATTTTTGTATTTTTTTTTAAATGGCAGTAATTATATTTGTTTATTTGTATGTACACAGATAATGTTCCAATCGTATGGACCCAGACAGGGCCCTATGCACGGCCTTCCTATATCCACGCCGTACGTCACCAAGGACTATTTGCAGCAAAAGAGATTTTTGGTAAGCGATACGCTTTTTAGGCAGGAATTTGCAAATAAAATTCTTTTTTTATCTAAATAATACTTTCAACCAGTTGGACAAACGTCCGTTAAAAGTCTTAATGAATGTTCTTAATTTAAAAATTTGTATATACATTGTCGCTTTTAACTAATGACAATTTGAATGAATGTTTGTGCAACTGAGTGTATAACTCGAGCCAGATCACTTGCATGGTATGTTGTAACTGATGGTCTATACCGTGCATCTAAAGGGGTCACGAGACGTTCAAACAAATCGACTCAGACCACATTAATGTCCTGCGTACTAAAAAAGAAAATATTTGATCTAACATACCATTTTACACACGAGAATCTAAAGAAAGCACTAGAAACTACCGCGTCAGATGATATGAAGAACATTCTTAGGGCAGATAAAGTTTCCAGTCATAAACCAGCAGTTATCTATTAAACTAAACAGAGTTTATTCAAAGGCGACGGAACACATTCAAACGCCGTGTCTAACACAACATAAAATATGTAATTTCACCAAATCGGTGTCAAACCGTTGTTCTAAATTGCTTTGAAAATTGTAAAAATGGTTGAATCAAATCAAAATTTACGTGTTTGAATCAAATTGACCGTCTTAGGGCGTCTTTACGTTTACTCGACATTTTATTTACAAACATTACATAGTCGCTGTTTGTATATGTTTTTATGGGAAATTCAACTTAAGATAAGTTCGATGGCCATTAACTTTCCATCTTAAATAAACAATGTTATATTTTTGTTTGGTTTTCTTCTCGTTTTCCTAGGCGACGTCACAGGGCACGACTTACGTATACGACATACCAGACATGTTCAGACAAGTCACAGAGAAGAGATGGAAGGAATGCATCGAGGAAGGGACCGTAGACGGTATCTATATGAAATTGTCAACTGTTACAATAACATACAAATAATGTGACTCCCCGATGTACTTGTACTAGAGATTAAATTTAGGAACGTGGCAAATGTCGGCTGATTTTCATCCAGTTTCACGCGTCTGACTGTCACCGAGTGTGAATGAAATGTAGCTTGTCTATACTTATAATATAAAGAGGAAGATTTGATTGTTTGTTTGCAAAGAATTGGCTCTGAAGGTGCTGGACCGACTTTAAAAATTCTTTCACTTACTGTACGCTACATCATATGTGGTCGACATAGGCAATAATTTACGCATGTGAAGTCGGGGGAAAATACTAAGTATATTATATTTGTCGCGAACATCACAATGTGATATTTAGTTTATTTATTTTAAATATCTATAAAATTAAATTATTTAAAAAAGTTGTCTACACCCCTATATTGCATTCAGTATACTGATAAATATGTTTAAAATAATTATAATTAATGAAAATAGACTCACTAGGTACGAAAAGTAATGAGTGCTTAAATATTCGACAGTCCTGTCGGGTTTCGGGTAGCACAATGGTTAAAGCGCACGCCCGGATCTCAAAAGGTCCTGGGTTTGAAATCTATCTCATGGTACTCTAAGCAGGTGGACTCTTGAAGCATTTACATTAAAAATATTTCTTGTAGTCTCTTTTTATTCAGAGTTATATTCGGTGAAGTTTGTTAAACAGGCGCCATATTTATGAGTTTTATCCCAAAATGGTACAGGTCCGGTGCCGGACACGGTGATGACGAGCGTAGAGCTGGTGGTGGAGCCGGACGGGGAGCGGCACGTGGTGGAGGTCACCCGCCTGCCCGGACAGAACACGGTCGGTATAGTGCCACCACCGTCGTTATATGGTCACCCTACTGTACATAGGGGTTTGATCGCCGATTCTTATCGACATACTTATAATATTTTTTACTATTTATTAAAATATTCGGCTGTCTGAGATTCCGGATGAAATTAATGACATCAATTAAAAACATGTGGTCAAATTTCAAAATGGAAATCTGACATGAGGAGTGTCGTTTGCGGCAATTATTGTTTAATGGGAAAATTAAATAATCTCAAAATTAATTTAATGTTTTCCAAATGATCTATGATTGTGATAACATATATTATAGTTTATTTACGGATTAAGTTTTGATAATAGTATTCGTACGAATAACTAAAGAAATGGCCTCAATTTATTCATGTTAATACAATCCTCCTTCCCATCTAGGTGGGTATGGTGGCGTGGCGTCTAACCCTTTTCACGCCCGAGTGTCCCGAAGGACGGGACATTATCCTGATAGCCAACGACCTCACACACTACATGGGGTCGTTTGGACCGCAGGAAGACTGGCTGTTCTACAAGGCCTCACAGTACGCCAGGGAGCTTAAGATACCCAGAGTGAGTAGATATTTTTTATGGATCTATTTTATTTAATATTTAAATTGTATACACACAAAGTGCGCAAATTAACATCTCATTTTATTGTATACTAGCTGTTTTCCCGCGACTTCACCGGCGTAAATTATAAGCTTTTATACCGGCGTATGATGTAGTTTCTCGTAGGTGAAAGTTAATTACCATAATAATAATAAAAAAATACCATTATCTGATTAGTATTTTCGAAAATAGCACATACAAACAAACATACTTAAAAACTTTAATTTTCTTTTGCAAAAATATACGTTATCTGAATCGAACTATTAAAAGTTACTAATTCAAGAGTAATAAATAATAATATCTTTAATTTAATGTAAATTTCAAATTTTATATGACTCAATGTCAATAACCCTATTGGAAGAAGAGCAAGCTTCTTCAATACTGAGAGTCTGATTATACGTACCTATTTGTAACGTAATCATTTTCAATTCTATCCAGTTGTACATAAGTGTCAACTCCGGTGCCCGTATCGGTGTAGCGGAGGAAGTGAAATCTGAATTCAATGTCGCGTGGGTGGACGCAGAACGACCGGACAGAGGGTTCAAGTACTTGTACCTGACACCCGAAGCTTTCTCCAAGCTGGGACCACTGGGCTCAGTCAAGACTCAGCTCATTGAAGACGAGGGAGAGTCCCGGTACAAGATCACAGACATCATAGGTAAGTGTTAATATACTAACAGTAATTGTATCTCACACCTGAACCTTTCTCCAAGCTGGGACTACTCAGTCAAGACTTTTCATTGAAGATGATTAGGAATACCGCTTTCTTTCTTTTTATTTTCTTGCTTTGCGCACTGTTTACTACTCGTAAATTATAAAACACGCTTCTTGCCTTAAAATCGAATGAAAATTCATACTTTGAAAACGCAGGTATAAAAATATCGTCTGTTTTGTGTTATACATGTCATTCCTACATGTATAACACAAAACAGACGATATTTATTTGGTTAATAATAAACAGGCATCTGTTTAAGAGTAATCTGGCAGATGTTGCCATAGTGACGTCACAATATGGCGGGTTGTGTATGAAGTCATGTGATACACGGGTAAAAAATATCGACTTTCGATTTCAAGACAATCATGAGATTCATTAATGTATATTTTAATTTTTGCGCAATACGGGGACTTATATTTCACTATATATAACTAACCTATTGTACATGTCGGTGGTTCAATAAAAGTAAGATAGTAGTCATTTCCGTTCCTTCTGACTAAGATATAAGAAAACTGAAATTTGCAAAGTTCGAAACTTAGATATATACTATAATACAAATACGAAAAAGTACAAATGGAATATGAGTTGTTTATTGAGATTTGAAAATTAATTTACTTTCATACACGAAAGAAAACCGGAAGGGTTGTCATGGAGAAATGAAGAAAGTACCGTAGCGACATCTAGTTTTATTTGGGGAACTTATATATTTTTAAATACTTCCTCGTTGTATTTTCGTGTATTCCTAGTTTTTCGTTTAAAAAAGACTTTAAATTATTAACTGTTATGTTATTCACTGTTTGTTCGACTTAGCATTGCACGTGTTTAACAGTGAAAACTGTCTAGGCAACTGTACTACCTAATTTAATTATGTATATTCTATGTGTAAATCAATGCTGTTGTTTCCCAAATAAATAATTAAATAAATTAACTATTGCTATAATGAAATATACTAGATATCGATTGTCTTACCAATCTGGGATGCTAACGTTTTCAGTGCTATTAATCTAGGAGTAAATATTCCTCCCGTAGAACCTCGTACTAGGTTAACCTTTGCCAAGTCTCTGTTTAATAATATGAATTCTTACTAAGTGCAGTCTCAGTGTAAATTTACTCCAACGCTAAATCTTGTTTATTGGAAATGAAATGAAAAGATCTTTATTCAAGTAGGCTTACTACAAGCACTTATGAATCGTCCAAAAAAATTTTTCCCCTACCACTTGTTCGGGACGTCTTTTAGCTGACAACAAGAACAAGCGAAAGAAACTTACCAGCTCTTTATCATAAGTAATGACATTTATATAAGTCTAGTCCTTACCAAAATAATATGTATTATCACAATAATAAATACAACTTTCAAAGTCTGTAGGTCATAGGTTGTACATATAATTAGTCGTTATAGAACAAGGCGAAGGCTATTAACTCCATGCATTGCAATCGTTAAAATAATCATCAACTTTATAATAGCCTTTACACATAAGTATATTATTTACACGAATTTAAAATCTATTTATGGGTAAGTCAATTACATTTTCAATAATGTATTTACCCAGAAATGATCCTCTGGTTTTCTGAAGTCTGAAGCTTGGAACGGCAGTTTTTTTATATTCTTGTATTAAGACTATGAACACTACTTTTTTTGTATTAATAACTCTGTTTGTGTTCACTGCGTTATTTATTTAGGTAAAGAGGACGGCCTCGGTGTGGAGTGCCTCCGCGACGCGGGCCTGATAGCGGGCGAGACCGCGCAGGCGTACGAGGAGGTGGTCACCATCTCAATAGTCACCTGCCGGGCGATCGGCATCGGCTCATACGTCGTCAGGTCAGATATACAACCTTCAAATATAAATATTATATTTATGTCGGTAAATGTAATATTTATATGTTTTAATTAGACACCTGAAGGCAAATATCATTTCTCCGAAAACGAATTTTCGTCTATTTTCGAAATGCTAAAGGGAAGCATTTTCCGATAATTTATGCACAGATAATCTTCACTTTTATGATTATAATAAATTCAAATTCGTACTAGCATCGATTATTTGGTTTTGATCAATAAATGTTGTTAAAATAATCTATTCTACTTCATGATAAAATACTTCAATTATCCGTGACATCCCTATAATGATATGACTCGCATGATTTAGACTTTGGTATTTAATTTGAAATAATAATTGTTAAAGCCTCGCCGAGTGTAATTTTGTACGATATATGACCAATATATAATTTGATTATAGGGAATCTTTTTAAATACGGATGTAGACAGTAAACGAAAATAAGTTATATTTTTTGTAGTTTTTAATGTACTTTTACCGATAATCATACTTTTATGATACTTTTACAAATGTATTATACTCGTTGTCACGTGACCGTAAACAGCGCGTGACGTCACGCCCCTCTTACCCATATCATAGCCTAGAGAATTTAACCTTATGCACACATAGAACGATATTAGTTTTATTAGTGGCATTTTTATATGAATGTTACTTTTTAAACATTTTTTATCTATATTTCGTGTATATTAAAAAAAAAACGTTGTCTACACCCCCTATCACTTAGGATTTTAAGTAATGAGAAATGAAACGAAACTCCTCCCCAAAACCGCTCCCTAAAAAAGATTCAGCCGGTGTTTGCCCTGACGTTCCGTGCACGTTGTACCCGCAGACTGGGCCACCGCGTGATCCAGGTGGAGTCGTCGTACATAATCCTGACCGGGTACGCGGCGCTGAACAAGGTGCTGGGCCGCGCGGTGTACGCGAGCAACAACCAGCTGGGCGGCGTGTCCATCATGCACAACAACGGCGTCGCGCACGCCACCGCCGCCACCGACCTGGACGCCGTCGCCGCCGCCGCCAGGTGGCTCGCCTTCGTGCCCAAGGTGCTATGCCCCACTGACCCCACCAGTAACTATATCGTCGCACATGTAGGCCTTAATCAAATTGACCCCTCCAGTTACTATGTCTTCGCACCTGTAGGCCTAAATCAAATTGACCCCACCAGTTACTATGTCTTCGCCCCTGTAGGCCTAAATCAAATTGACCCCACCAGTTACTATGTCTTCGCACCTGTGGGCCTAAATCAAATTGACCCCACCAGTTACTATGTCTTCGCACCTGTAGCCCTAAATCAAATCAAAACTGTTTCTTCAGTTCAGGCTTTTACAGAGCACTTGTGAAAGTCGAAAACTACGCCATCGGTTCGCAAAATAACGGTGGGAGACCTTGTTCTGAGAAGAACGGTATAATACTCGGTTCTACTTTCTAAATGTTAATACGGCCCCTGAGATAGTTTTCAGGCACAGTAACGGAGATGTCCGTAGATATGTCACGATAGTTCAGATCCGGTTCGAAGGACCGATGTTCGGTGAACGGGGGTTGGCAGTGGTGGAATGTTCAAATTAAAGTTTATGTTACACTGATTTATTTATTTTTAGCTTAATACAAATGTTAATGTTAAATGTTAAGAGTAAGCACACGCGACGGCGGCTTTGTATATACTAATTTAAAAACTAACTATCCGATGCAAATGCATCGGTGACTACGTATGTGATGTCAGTAACACGTCATTCTGTTCGGTAACATGAAACCGAACAGATATAATTTTTAGAAAATTATAAGTTTCTCATAATCATTTCTTCTGATCCTTTAAACCTAAACGTCATAGTTACTATTAGTATATCTCTGAATTTGAATATTGACTTTGCATATTTGAATAAATTAAATCCGCCAGTGTAAGGACCTAATATTGTTCCTTGGGGTACATCGTGAATAAATTAAAGATTTTGACTAATCGACATATTAGTTTTTTACATGATAACTACTGAAAAATAGGACTATAAATATGTTTGTTGAGCTCTAAAAATACCGCTCTTAATTTAAATTTACTCGTAGATAGCGATATGGGAGTACCCAGTAGCCGTGTCGAAAGCTTTTGCGTTATCGAACAAAATTGCAACATTTTTCACTTTATTTTTGAATAGACATTTGAAACAAATTCGACTTTATTGGTAATTTCGTCTATATAAAATCCAAAATTTTCTGCCTTTGTGTATTTTTAACAGTAAAATATTGAGTATTAAGTAAAGAACTGCATAGTAAGAAATTAACTAAAATCTCTCATGTTGTGGTCAGGATAAAATGAGCATGGTGCCCATAATGCGTTGCTCGGACCCCGTGGACAGACGCGTCGAGTGGGTGCCGCCGCGCACCGCCCACGACCCCCGCCTCATGCTCACGGGGGACGGGGCCAGGGGAGGGTTCTTCGACCGCGGCTCCTTCGACGAGATCATGCAGCCCTGGGCACAGACCGTCATCACAGGTACGTTACCGGACGAAGCCGGGAGACGGTTCCTCGGTCGTACTTACAAAACATGATCAGTGTTATATTAATAAACGAGGTTTAGCGTTGGAGCTAATTTACGCTGATACTGCACTTAGTTTTAGTCAAAATTCGTATTATTAAACATAGACTTAGCAAAGGTTATCGTAGTACGAGGTTCTACACTCCTACAAGGTAGTGGGTTTGCTTATTCTCTGTATAATATGAATTTGGACTAATAATACAATTTTAATTTTAGCGTAAGTTTACTCTGACGATAATCCTTGTTTATTCGTCAATATTTTGTCAGTGCAATCCCGGGATTGTATGAAAATGATTAAGTCTTGTGGTATTTACGTCAGGTCGCGCTAGACTAGGCGGTATTCCCGTAGGCGTGGTAGCGGTAGAAACTAGGACAGTGGAGATCACACTACCCGCTGATCCAGCCAACTTGGATTCGGAGGCTAAAACCATACAGCAAGCTGGACAGGTAATAATTTGTTTATTACTAGCTATATTCCCGCGCCTCCGCCCGCGTAATTTATAGCATATAGCAACCGCGTATAATGTATAATATTAGTATTTTATATCTTCCATGTACAGGTGTGGTTCCCAGATTCCGCTTACAAAACATCACAGGCCATCAATGACTTCTCACGCGAGGGACTACCCATTATTATTTTCGCCAACTGGAGAGGATTCAGCGGTGGACAGAAAGGTAAGTCATAGTAATGTAGGATAACCGTCAATTGCTAATGCGCCTGGCCGCCATTTTGGTTACGTAACCTATTGAGAGGTGTGTTCAATATTCGGTACTGTTTGCAAATAAATAGTGGATATTATTATTATCTTTATTGTTGTTTTCGTCATTGTTAAGTTTAGTAGTTACTTGTTAGGTCCGACTAAACTATTGCAATTTTTACAATAAGTAAGTACACTTAATTTCATTAAAAATAAAAATTATATTATGTCTCTCATGTAATCATCATGCCTTCTGTTGATTTATTCTTCACAGGTAGTTAAATAAAAATCTACGTTCAAGTCGCATTCAAATTGTTTATCACCTTCCATTTGGACATTTATGGACGTATATACGGTCGCGGTCAACATATGTTTACTAGTAAAGTCAAATAAGATTCTTTATTAGTAAGCAATAATATTATAATAATATAATTTTAGTTCTGAAGCACTGATTCAAATAAAAAGTAGTATTGACTATATTTCGATAATGAAAGTCAATTCTTTATTTAAAATTTGACGTATAGGTGTAATTTCAATTGATACAATGATATTTATCACTGTGTGTATTTAGATTTTTGCTCTCTAGTTATTTAGTTCCGTTGGCCAAGAAATTGTTTTACCACCCTGTAAGGTTGAATGCGTTTTGCAGATTCTTAGGCGATAAAGATTAATTTCGCTTGCAGATCTATCTGACAACTACTAACGGCATCTTTATCTGATTGAAAAGGATGTTTAAAGTTTGATACGAGGCAGCTATTCTTATTTTGATGTCGATGGAACTCATGAGGCGTAATATTAATGGCGGGGCAAATGTCAAACATCAAAGTAAAACTAAAAATACTCGTGAACTTATTACTTCACTCAGATTTACCTTCACAGCAGCAATAAAAGGGATGTCGATTGGATAAAAAAAAATATATTTAGTCTGTCAGTCAGATAATAGAACAATATTAGATGCGTATTTTTTTTTCTCGCGCGATCGATCTCTCACCAACGCCATCTATCGACAATTAGACAGTAACGATATTATGTCGGTTAGACATGTACGAGCAGATCCTGAAGTTCGGCGCGGAGATAGTGCGCGCACTGCGCGGCGCGACGGCGCCGGTGATAGTGTACATCCCCCCGGGCGCGGAGCTGCGCGGCGGCGCGTGGGCGGTCGTCGACCCCTCCGTCAACTCGCTGCGCATGGAGATGTACGCCGACCCGGAGGCCAGGTACTCTCGCACTTCCACACCTCCACACTAACGCACGTACGCACGCACACGCACGTACGCATGCACACGTACGCACGCACGCACGCAGCTTTTGTAGCGAACACTGCACACACTATGCTTTTATTAAATTGTTTTTCATTCTACATACTTGACTGTAAAAGAGCGCGTCATCCCTGGTACAAGTATTGATACTTAAAAGAAAGACTCCACCTATTTAAAACTGTGATCAATTGTGTAGCCACCGCGTCTCAAACGATAGTGCCCCTTAAACCAGCGATTAACTTCCAGCAAGACTAGTGGAATCAGCATTTCTTATTAAGCCAACGCGACATCCGTTTCCAGACGAGTGAAATTATTTGTTTTTAGTTCTGTTCTGTGAATGAAATAATTTGTTTAATTAAAAACCATATTATATTATTACATTTTAAAATATTAGAATGTATTTCTAGATAATATCTTTGATTCAACATCATAATGATATTTTGAACACACACACACTTAATTTTTTATCTGATTCATAGTCTGTAAATGAATAGCGGTCGTCCTATTCCAATATGCCACACGTAGGCAGATATCATACAATCCATTTGTTGTTCAGGGGTGGTGTACTAGAAGCGGAAGGTATAGTTGAGGTGAAATACAAGCAGCGCGACATACTGAAGACTATGCACAGAATGGACCCCGAGCTTTTGAGGCTAAGCGCCAGGATAACAGGTATGTGTGCGTCGTTACATAATATATTCTTAATGAAAAAATTAATCAAATTATGGCGATCATTCACTAGATTTTCTATATAGTTGTAATGTATTGAGCCCTCGCTCTTCAAATTTTAACGCCTGTATCTAATATTTTTGTATTAACTTTTTTTTTTTATTTTTACCCAGAGATCATCTCTGTTTTAAATATTTAACCTGACATACTGTCGTCTGTTCATGTGCAATATAAAAATCATAATATATTTAAAAGAAATATATTTCCTTTGTGAACAGAACTCAAAGATCAAATCAAAGAAATATCAAAGAATCTCGACCGGCGTGGCTCAATAGACGAGGTGCTCATCAAAACAGACGCCGGGCGACAAGGTCAGTCTATTTTAACCGACTATGCTTTCTGAAGCTGATCCTTTAATCTAGCAATACTAGGTGGTTCTTTGCAATGCAAGGTGTCCCGTCATAGATTTCCGAACTGATGGCATGGTTTTCAACATTAAAAGAAGTGTTTGTAACAGCCTAAAAAGGAGTTATCGAATACTATTGACTTTTATGTGTGACTACCAAAATAGCGCAGCCTGACTTTGATGAATCTTTAAAAATGTTTTTTAAAATACTCTTGTAGTCTTAAAAAAGTATAACTATACCAATAAGTTCCTTTAAATACTTATTTACCATGTTGTATGTTGAAAATGAAGTTATGAAGCCGCGCTTTTGTAAAGTATTAATGTTTATTAATTTATTTAAATAGAGCAATCAACAAAATACAAGCTATCTATAGGTTTAAAGTTGATGTGTAAAATGTGGATATTATAGTAACATTTCTTTTACATTAATAGTGCTATTAATAAACAAGGTTTAGCGTCAGAGTTAATTTACGCAGAAATTGCATTTTAGTATTAGTCTAAATGCATGTTATACAGAGAATAAACAAACCTACTATCTCCTAGGAGTAAAAAATACTCCCGTAGAACCTCGTACTAGGTTAACCTTTGCTAAGTCTCTGTTTGATAATAAGAATTTTGACTAAGTGCAGTCGCAACGTAAATTAACTCCAACGCTTAACCTTGTTCATTACAAACAATGTAAAAGAATAATTACCTAGAGTACATTACATACGAGTCAATAAGAAATAAGTGCTTGAATTACAATGTCAAGAAGTATAATTTATTATAATTACATTAGACGGTTTCTTTTTATAATATATTTTGTTTCTTTCAACAACAGCTGAAAGCAAAGTTCGCGAACTAGAAACAGAATTGTTGGCCGCCGAGAAAACCGTTAAATCCCGAGAGAAAGAATTGAGTCCTATCTACCACGAAATAGCGGTGCAATTCGCCGAGCTACACGACACTGCTGAGAGAATGTTAGAGAAAGGCTGTATATTCGTGAGTATTTAATACTAACTTTTATTATCAGCATCATCCAATGATGATAGGCCAATGCCTATTAAGACCTCAACTTTATCGCGATCACGTAAATTGGGTCGGAGTTATTGACCTGAAACGTTTACATTCATATGGATATTCCTTCAAAATTGATTGTTCTTTATGATTTTTCTCTTGAACATAGGAAGCACATGTATAAAAATCGACAAAATACTGTTTTTTTTTTTATTTTTGAAAACCTAAAATGGGATCCAACTGCAGAAAGGCAATATTCGATTGAACTTGGACATACTTACCGGAAAAATGTCTTATCCATGTTATTCTTTCTTCGAGAATTTATGATACGAGTACCAACTGATCCGATCACTGCATATCGCGTTATTAGCATAACAACGAGCATTGTTTATCAGGACATAATCCCGTGGCGGGATTCCCGTCGGCTGATCTACTGGCGCATCCGTCGGCTGCTGCGCCAGAACTGGCAGGAGCGGCGCGTGCAGCGCGCGGGCGCCGACATCGACCAGGGCGCCGCCGCCGCCACGCTGCGCCGGTGGTTCACCGAGGACCGGGGCGAGTCGCACGTCAGTATATATATATATATATACAGGGTCATTTACAATTATATTCACCTCGCATTATTTATCCGAAAGTGAGGCAATTTTGCATTATTTTGTTTAAAAAAAAATTTAAACAAAATTTAAATATGATCAGAATCTAATTTTGTTGACATGTTTGGAGAGATAACATTCTAGTTCGTGTTAAGTAATAATAAAACCCAAATAATCTTGACCCAAACAGAAACGTCAGAGTTTTAAATAAAAAAAGTTTTTTGTTGTTAAAAAAATAACTTTCGGGTATATAATGTGGGGTAAAAATAATTATAAATGACCTCCCCTACGACCCCTTGAAAGGATCCGGTCTAATTATCCATAACCCTGTATATTACTTGGAGTGTGTTTCTAATATTAAAATAATTTTTAGTATATACATAAGTGTGTGTATGTATACACGGTATATTTTCTTATCTGTTCCGAATAATCTTTGAAATGGTTGGATTGATTTTGACGAAACTTTCACTGTTCAACTTGTGTAATTAGGAGTAACTAAGGCTACTTTCTAATTTAAAGTATATACAGAAAGTTCATTAAACGTCAATTAAAATGTCATTAGTTTAAAGCGAAATTACATACAAATTTGACATTCATTAGACCTTAAAGACGCCATTAAACCTTAATGAATGTTTGTGCGACTGCCCGTTAATCTGTATTAAGATGTTATTATATCTTAAGATAAAATATCACTCGACATATATCCCGATGGCCAAACACACAACAAGGCTGAGATAATAAATCCCATATAATTAGTATAAAATGCCAAGCGACACGGAAATATAATAATATTATAGCATTTATATTATCGTATCTTAACTGTCTATTATGAGCTTTACAATAAAATATTTCTACCCACCAGTCGCACCAATGGGAACACGACAACGAGGCCGTGTGCAAATGGCTAGAAGAGCAAGCGGACGATGAGAATTCAGTCCTAGAAAGAAACCTAAGGGCGATCAAACAGGACACCATACTGCATACGGTCAACTCCCTTGTATTGGTGAGTCTCCTATCATAATATATTCAATGTTGTTTGTAAAGCATTTATAATAGGGATGATGACTGGGTAAAAAAAAAGCAATTCTAATTAGTCCGTCAGTCAGATAATAGAAAAATATTAGATACATATTTTTTTTTACTTCCATTTAACAAGAAAAAGCTTAGATAACAGGCATTAAAGTTGAGGAGTGGGGGCTCGCTACGTCACAGTTGAGTAGAAAACGTACTCTAATGTGACGTCATGCGAAATTTCAACTCCATGTAACGTCGTAATTTTATGATTATGAAAAAAATAAAGAAATACGTGTTTAATATCTTTTAACACTCTACCTGACGGACAAACAAACAAAAATTAGTCATCATCCCTATTATAATAAGCATCTATGCATAATATAAAACAAAATCGTTTCCCGTTATCTGCACGCTCAGATTTATTAAACTACATGACGGATTATAATATAATTTTCATCGATATACGGAGAGCTAGTATATAATAAATAAATAATCTTTGAGGAGCTCTAGTAAGAATTATTTTGTCGAAATGTGTAAATAGAAAGTGCACTTAATAAAATAGGCTTTCTCGCATATTAGTGTATGTACTATCTTATTGCTAAGCGAATTAAAGTCATGGATTACGGGCAAGGTTTTAGATGTGACCTTTATTTTGATCGATGAATTTTAAATTTATTTTCTTAAAGTTACCCGACTAGTTTTAACGTCGACGTAGTTTAATTTCACACCAATGAATATGTTAATTATTTTCATTTCAGGAACTGACGCCATCCCAACGTGCTGAATTCATTAGGAAAATATCTTCATTGGAAATGGAGCAATGATTTTAAATAATAATATTAGATAACACATGTTATATAGTAAGGTTGCCATGCTTAAAATAGATATTTATAAGATTCTATCTGTAGCAACATTTGCTACTAGAAACTAATTTGACAAATTAAACTTAGTCCATTGTTTATTAGTTCAATGTGAATTGAATCTTATTCCTCATGAAATGAGGTCTTAGTTCTGTAATTGAATTCACTGATTTGTCTACGACTGTAGATATCTCAGTTTCGTTGTTAAAACTATTTATTTAAAAGATGATTATAGTCAGTTGTCTTTTTGAAATTGAACAAATTTAATTTAATATGTATAGTAGGAATAATTAACAATTCAAAAGTTTGTAACAAACTACCGTCAGCGGCAATTATAATCATTCTGAATTTCTCACATTGAAAATAAGATATATTTGTGTCACTATATACTTCAATTAGTGACAATCAACTAGTCTGTGTATATAACAAAAGTGTTCTATATCAAGACTAATTTTGGACTCTGTCATTCTGAGGCTATTAATTTAAAAGCCAAAAATAAAAATTTACTAAGACATAAAATACATCCGAAGTTGAATAATGTCCTAATTGTCTAATATTTTCAAAAATATTTCGCAAAAAAACCACTAGTATCAGAGTATCTGACTCGCGTGCACGCGACTTACATTATGTACACACAGCAAGATATCAAGGTTACCACAATGGCAAATGTTCAATGCGTTTTAGTTTAAAAACAGATCTTTGTAGTTTTTTGTAACCTCATCCAATAACATGATATTTTTTAATGCCCAATAACAATATTTATGTATGAAATGGTGCTTTGAATGATGAATAATATTAACTAATGTGTACATATATATTCTTTGCAATGGCTAAATTTTTTTTTATTGTGATTGAAAATTCACTGTGTAAATTTGTGGCACATTATTACATTCCAAATTGGTACACGACTGCACCTTAGGCTATCATTTAAAAATCCATTTCCTCAATTAATTTTGAACTCTATCTTTAATATATCAAGGTTTAAAATAAATTGAGAAATTTAAATCTTTTGTATAAGCTAAAAGTGCAGTTGACCTGTACATATACCTATATAATATAAACTGTCAAGATTTTGTAAATCTAAATATGAATAAACTATAAGGCGTTCTTTTATATGTATATAGCGATTTTTTTATAATTTTATACTGCGAATGATACCTATATGTATTGTTAAAAACAATCTTTGAAATATTTGCATTTTGTTTTTCATTAAAGTATCTATTTAGAAATCACAAGGGAAAAAATCTTTTATCAATAATGAAATCTAAGTCTTAGGAGTATAGAAACTAGGACTAAAGTTGCTAAAAGTATAAATTTAAAACCAAAACATACTCTCATAACGCTTGAGTAAAGTTAAAATGTCAAATTTAGAATAGTTATACCTTCTTTCTAAACTAATGGTCTATTGAAGGTTGGAAGCGGGATGCTGCTATACTTCGCGTATAACGGTGTCTCACTCCCACAGCAGCTTTAATATGGCATTTGTCGTGGTTAAATCGTCTGACCATCTATCACCCACCTATTTAATCACGTTGTTTAAATATTAAATTAACGTTATCAGACTTATTTAAAGTAGGATATTTTTGTATTTATTTAGTACTATGTTACATTCCTTTTGTATTTATTATGGTTTGGTCATATTTGTTTATATATGTACTGTATAATATATCTTATTACCTGTTATCATTTTTATGTCACATTTAGTGTATTGGGATCATTAAAGTGTAACGGTATGAGATATACTGGCGTCATCTTCATATTTTATTCTTGCAGGACATGGAAATCTATCGAATTTATTGAATTTTTTCCAATTTGTCCATAGTTTATACATGAATGAATTACACAGTCAAAGAAAAAGTTTTTACTGGAATTTGGAGGACCAACGATACTAATGCAGTTCATTTTTGAAATTTTCTTATCTATTAAGTAAAATATTTTTTTTTAATATAAGAATATAATTATTATAGTTACTAAATTGATATTTTAACAATTAAATTAAAACACTTACGGGGTCTAAAATATTATAATAATATTCACCAACACTATTCCATGGTGCTACATAAATAAGTTTATTCATTGAAATTAATCTAAATTTAAAAAAAATACTCTATATGATAAATCTATTACGTTTTAGTTTATATTATAAAAGCAAGTAGTTAATATAGCCCTATTTTTTGGCATATATTTAAATGGTCCATTTGTCCAATGTCCGGTGTATAGTATACATATTTTTAGTTGGAGTTAATATAAAACTGCTTATAAATTTTTCCTGCCTGTTTGTACCATTTTCTCCACTTTTATATTTCTTAACTCCATTATTTGGCGAGCTATCTCCTTCCTCAATCTCATCGCCAGTTTGTACGCAGATCACTGCTAGTGAAGAGAAGGACCTCTTCGTCCAGTACTGGTTTTTGTTTAATCTCACCCAATCTTTGAATGGGAAGTGCTCTAACTTGACCAGCATCGAGCCACGCTCTCCCGGCGACGATATACTGATATATCCGGCGTCTTCATTTATTAAAATTTTTTGTGAGATTTTGCCAGTACTTGTCAATAATGAGTGAGCTCGGGCAAGATTGGCGACCATACAGGAAAAGTCCTCGTCGTTCGAAATTTCCTCTTCCAACACTTCCTCTTCCTTGTGCGGTACCTGTGTTTGTTTCAGATTTTTTTTCCATGGAATTTTCACTCCAATCTCTGGTTCGCTTTCCGCTTCCATTGTTCTCATTTGAAACATTTGTCCTGAAATATACTCCTCGTCCTCTTCTAAATTGATCATTTTCCGCTTCATAGAGACTGATTTCTCCTTCTGGAACGTCACTTGCTTGGGATTACGCCCATCTGTCGATTTCCTCAGCCGCTGTGGCGTCTGTGATGTACTCGTGTAATCTTTGGACGTGGAGGTGTTTTTCGTGTTATGCAATTATGAAAATTCCTTGTATGCTGTATCCTCCTCCTCCTCTTCTTTTTGCTTTACTTCCAATTCCATGAGAACTGTTGAATAGTGGTCGAATAATATTGTTTCTAAATCTTGTTCCCAGGCAATCGATTGGAGTTTCCCATAAATCATGGATAATTCAACGTTTAAACACCACTCCTCGAAAGTAGCGAAGGAACAATCGGTCAAGCTCTTCTTTTCGGTTTTCATTTATATGAAAAACTTTAATTATTTTCTGCAATGTTTGACCCACATTGAAATGTTTCATATTTTTCATTTCCAATGCGGCGTCGTTTATTAACTTCAAAAAGGGTTTCATCTTTCACTCTTAGTGTCGCCTCCGTTTGCCAGAAATTCTCTAACTATTTGATTAAAAGACTGCTCATAGTCGTCACTAAGATTTTGCCTTTCGAAGTTTTTTTTTTCTTCTCTACAGGTTCCACTTCCAGAACATAATGAGTATTCTGGTCCTGTACATTCTCCGTTATTTCCACCTGATCGTTATTCGAGTCTACAGTCCAGATTGTAGACTCGAACACTCTTCGTTTTCATCGTAAATACTTTGTGATTCTTGTCTGTCCATCCTGCTTACAAGTTTTTCCTTAGTTTTATAAACCAAAAATTCACTGAGAGTCTATATTGTCTATCTTGAATGTGTTTATTCCACGAGTTACTTGGAACGACTGTGAGAATAGAGCCCGATAAACGTCTTTATAACTCGCTGGAATTTTAATGCCACCGATACCTCATATGACCGCCCCCCTAGTAAACTGAACGAAGTGAGCGATAAGGCAATCGAGCTATCGCGTGGCGAAGCCACATGTTAATGTTCATGATTATAATTTATAGCTCACTTCGTTCGGTATGTATTTTACTAACAATTTAATATATCTAACCCCCCCCCCCCCCCCCCAACACGTTACGTAATACTTTCATGACCCCTTAGTAATATAAGATATAAATAATGGCGAGTAATGGATTATTGTCAATTTGTGTATTACCTATTTGTCTGTTATAGTACAAAAATAACAGTCTTACGAATTAATACGACACTTTGCTACAATGATTTCTGCAAAGTACAATGTGCAAAAAAAGTTGTCATTTCAAACTTAATGTATTTAAAAAATGATATTTATTTTATCTAAAGAAGTTCAATTATTCAATAAAAAAATACATCCAATCGTAACAACTAATTCAAAAAATCCGAAAACGCAAAGCGTCTTTAAACATATCAGTTTTGCTATCGCTACTGAGTTGTCATGGCGACAACGGCGAGGCGTGATGCATGGTGTCGCAGAGTAGTGCAGGTAATACCTCCGTATTCCGGGGCAATGGTCATGTTGATTCGTAAAAATATTGCTTTGGGGAACTTTTGTTAACCAAAACAAAATCATTTGGTATATTTATATAATCAAAACCATATTTATATTACCTTATTATATTTTCTCTGTACACGCTCGATGTTCTTCGCCTATCTAATAGAAGACGAAAAATACACTTTGCTGTGAATAGCGAATCATTGTTAAATTTGTTATAGCTCTAATTGTTACACATTATTGTAAATTAGCACAACTTACGTAGGTCTGACAGATTTTGTCTCTTTTCTCCGTATAACAAAACTCGTATCGTTTTAGGATGTTGTTATTTTTATTTGCTGTTTTTTTTTTCAATTAGAAAATGTGATAGTTTTGTTATGTGCGAGGATAGCTTTTGTGAAATGGACGAATCTGTTTTATTTTTCAATGTTAATTTTTGGGTTAAACGGTGTACTCATTGGATGTTTATCGAGACTATGAAAGAATCTATAAATTCGACAGTAATATTTTTTCTTTGTGAACAATAAATTGTAGAACTTTAATACGTTGATATTAAAGTTTAAGATCAATGGTTGAAACAATATCACAATTAGATGGATTCTTAAGGCGATACCAATTACACTCTAAAGATGTCGTTTACCCGATTTAATTAGTAATTTTTTTATGCATGGTAAATATTGAAATAATGCATAATCTACGTTGTCTAGTATTGTGAACCGCAGAAAATAAAGACCTCTTCTGTGTTCTGTAATTGAGTACTATTGACCTAAAAATTAATTGCAAAACCCTTAGAGTTGGACATACGTAGCAACATTTATATACATTTTTTTCTTTGTTTCCAATGTTTGTAAGTTGAAAAAAGAGGGGGGGGACGTCTATGCTAGATACAGTACAATTTTTATAGTGTGTAATACACTATAAAAATTGTGTACTTATTAATAAACGTTTCATGTAATAATTATTAGGTTGTACATAATACATATGTATATTGTTTAAAAAAAATAGAATAACAAATATTCATGAGATTCTATCATGTACTTTACAATGAGCAGGTTCTAATCTACAATTTTTTCAACCGGGGCAAATATTCGACTTTGCGCCCTTTTAACAAACTGTTCGACGGTCCGACATTTTTATAAAGCTCATTCTTTCTTAACTGATACTGCCCTACTTGCCGCCCTCTGAATCCGG